CAGAAGGTCATTATTAACTTTAACCAGAGCTGTCTCTGTGCTATGATGAACTCTAAATCCTGACTGAAAATCCTCAAATAAACTATTGTTATGTAGAAAGTCACACAACTCTTTGGCGACTACCTTCTCCAGAATCTTAGAGAGGAAGGGGAGGTTAGAGATTGGTCTATAGTTAGCTAAAACCCCTGGGTCAAGAGTGGGCTTTTTAAGAAGGGGTTTAATTAAAGCTACTTTAAAGGACTGTGGTACATATCCTGATAATAAAGAAAGATTAATCATATCCAGTAAAGAAGTGCCAATTAACGGAACAACTTCTTTAAGCAGCCTAGTTGGGATCGGGTCTAATAGACAGGTTGATGGCTTCGATGAAGAAATGATTGAAGTTAACTGATGAAGATCGATAGCAGAAAAACAGGCTAAATATATCTGAGTTTACATTAGTTAAAGTTCCTGAACGTGGAGAGCCACTGATAGCTGTTGATGGCAGTTGGTGATTTGTTGTCTCTCTAATAGTAATAATTTTATTATAAAAGAAGCTCATGAAGTCTTTCTATGAAGGCCTTTCTATAGGTTTTAAGATTATCATGCCAAATTGAGCGATATTCTGATAATTTGGAAGAGCGCCATTTCCTTTCAGATTTCCTAGCTTTTTGCTTTAATTGGCGGGTTTGGTGGTTGTACCACGGTGCTAGTTTCCTATGTTTTAATAATTTCCCTTTTATAGGAGCGACAGAATCTAATGTTCTTCTTAGTGAGCTTGCAGCACTATTAACAAGTTTATCAGTTTGGGAGGGACTAAAGTTATTATAGGATTCTGTTAAATTCAGACATGGCATTGAATTAAACACTGAAGGAATCTCCTCCTTAAATTTAGCTACAGCACTGTCAGATAGACATCTGCTGTAGGAAGTTTTGCCTAATGGGTTATAATCTAATAGTATGAATTCAAAAGTTATTAAATAATGGTCAGATAGAAAAGGATTATGTGGGAAGACTATTAAATGTCCAATATCAATGCAATATGATAGAGCAAGGTCAAGAGTGTGATTAAAACAATGAGTTGGTTTATTCACACTCTGACAGAAGCCAATTGAGTCTATTAATGATATAAATGCGTTACTAAGGCTGTCATTTTCAACATCCACATGAATATTAAATCACCTACAATAATTACTTTATCTGATTTAAGGACTAAACTTGATAAAAACTCTGAGAATTCAGATATAAAATCAGAGTACGGTCCAGGAGCGCAGTACACTATAACAAATAGAACTGGCTGCAATGTTTTCCAGTTTGGGTGAGAAAGACTAAGAACAAGGCTTTCAAATGAATTATAATTTAGTTTAGGTTTAGGGTCCATTAAAACGCTCGAATCATATATGGCTGCTACTCCACCTCCTCGGCCTGTGCCTCGAGGAATGTAAGTATTAATATGACTGGGGGGGTGCATTCATTTAGGCTAACATACTCCTCGTGGGACAACCAGGTCTCAGTAAGACAAAGTAAATCAGTATCATAATCTGATATTAATTCATTCACTAAAACAACTTTAGAGGACAGAGACCTGATATTTAACAGCCCACATTTCATTCTCTTATTTTGTGCTACTGAGGAGTTAGTTTTAATTTTTATTAGGTTTTTATGTTTAACTTGTTTTTATTTCTTTAAATAATTTGTTGTTTGACTGTACTAATGGAAGAGCAGAGAAGTGTGTAAGACAGCAGCTCTGCTTCCTGGTCCCAACTCTGGACTGTCAGGTTTTAGAAATAAACTTCGCCATATTCCTAGATAAGAGAGCCGCGCCATCCAATGGATGGATGCCATCTCTCCTAATCAGGCCAGGTTTTCCCCAAAAAGGCTTCCAGTTATCAATGAAGCCCACATTGTTTACTGGACACCACCTCGACAGCCAGCGATGGAATGACGACATGCGGCTATACATGTCATCACTGGTCACATTGGGGAGGGGTCCAGAGAAAACTATGGAGTCCGACATTGTTTTAGCATAATAACACACCGACTCCACATTAATTTTAGTGACCCTTTAGTGACCTTACCTTTAGCCAGCAGTTTTAAATACGATTCAATGTCGCCCGCTCTGGCCCCAGGGATACATTTAACTATGGCCGCTGGCTTCGGTATCTTCACGTTTCTGACTATGGAGCTGCCAATAATCAGAGTTTGCTTTGAGTGTTTGGAAGACTAGAACTGATCTACTACACTGATCGGAACTGACATTATGAGCACTGGACTCCCTGACTGGTCCCAGACCAACAGACTGCTCTGCACTGTGTGTTCTTAGCCCTTTCTATCAGAACCAGCATTAACTGTTTCAGCAGTTTGAGCTACAGTAGCTTGTCTGTTGGATCAGACCACACGGGCCAGCCTTCACTCCCCACCTGTATCAATGAGCCTCGGCCCACCATTACCCTGTCTCTGGTTCTGTTCCTTCCTTGGACCACTTTTGATAGGTACTGACCTCTGCAGAACTGGAACACCCCACAAGAGCTGCAGGTTTGGAGATGTTCTGACCCAGTCGTCCATCACAATGTGGTTCTTGTCAAAGTGGCTCAGACCCTCATACTGCCCATTTTTCCTGCTTCTAACACATCAACTCTGTTCACTGTCTGCCTGATATACCCCCAGCCCACTCACAGGAGCCCTGATACCCAGATAATCAGTGTTATTCACTTTCAGTGCTCACTGTGTTGATGATCAATGTATTTAAGTACAGTCCATGCAAATAATGGAGGCAGAGTAGGTGCAGCTTAGATGATTACATATAAAAAAGGATTCCGAAAAATCCAAAAGCACCAGAATACCAAAACACTAGAACTGACACGAGGAACAGCTCAGGGGTAAGTGACTTGCGACAGGGCAGGAGACCTCAGGCAGAGGACCCGAGGTCAAAGTAAATGGACGGAGTGACTAATGAATCTTACCTTTATGTTCATAAAAGTTGAAGACTGATTGAAGGGTGGATGTCATGATACTATTGGTTGAAACTGGTTGAATCCGTGTATCATTCGTTCTTTTCATATTCAACTGAGATTCCAAAATTGGAAAATGAAAACACGGTTTGTTATTTCCTTATTCGTTTATGAATCTGATACCAAAAAACAAATAACGGTTCATTTTTTGTACTTTCGATTTATTGCTCAGATCAAACATAGGAAATTAAATAACGGGCCACGGATCGATTTCGATTTTGATATTTAATGTTTTCGTTTTGTGTGAACCGGAAGTTATTGTCTTCTTCGTGTGTTGCACTTGGAAGTTTGCAGCAGTTTCGCAAAGCCTGAAAAAAGTCAATCCTGCAGTGATTGTACTCTGTATTTAAGGACTTATTGTACTCTGTATTTAAGGACTTATTGTACTCTGTATTTAAGGACTTATTGTACTCTGTATTTAAGGACTTATTGTACTCTGTATTTAAGGACTTATTGTACTCTGTATTTAAGGACTTATTAAGGACTTATTTGAAACTGGCAAGACACATGTAGAGATTTCTACTCGGCTGCAGCAGATGGAGATCCAGTGATGTTCTGACAGTCACCGTTTAGTTCCTCTGAACAATCACAATCAGACACTTTAATAATCCCAGGGGGAATTACTTTCGTTACATGCTTAATATGAATTAGACATAAATATATTAAGAATATACATATAGTATAATTTAAAGTCACACAGTGTAAAGTGGTCGCAGGCTTCCTCTTCAGCAGAGGCTCATAGCAGATGTTGGGGTCCGCCCGGACGGTGTGGAGGACACCGACAGATACGGTCCAGTCCGTAATGTCCCTGTGCAGCTCTATCTCAGTGACACACACCAGACTCCCGGTACTCTGCGGGGCTCCGCGTTAATGCCGTCAGTTCGTACATTCCGTTGCTAGGAGACCGCACATCCACCATAACAACAGAGGGGAGACTCTGCTTCAATCTTCTCCTTCTCCATAAACCCGTCCCGTCTCCATCCTCCTCTCTTCCCCCGACGTTACTTCCCTCCTCTTCATCCCCGGTGTGTTTCCTCCAGAGTTCAGCTGGTAGATCAGCTGTTCTGTCCACCCTACCGACCGGCATTAGATCAGCTGTTCTGTCCACCGTACCGACCGGCATTAGATCAGCTGTTCTGTCCACCGTACCGACCGGCATTAGATCAGCTGTTCTGTCCACCGTACCGACCGGCATTAGATCAGCTGTTCTTTGGAGTAAACAACGGCAGCGTGTCCCGGTGGAAGCGACATTAAAACACGAAAATGAACAGAAAAACTGTCTCAAACAACCTCGTTAGAGAGGACAGGACTTCAGAGAGTGAAAAAATAAGAACGAACAAAAAGAGAATAAAAGTTAAGAAGTTAGAAAGCAGACTGGAGTAACAGGCAGCATGCAGCTTTTCGCGCACGCGCCAGGAAGATGAAGATGAAGATGAATGAAAAGATGAAACTCTCCATCATTGATCTTCAGTTTTGAAGACTAACGTTAGTTAAACTGAAGAAGTGAATCAAGCTAACGAGACAATAACTTCCGGTTCACACAAAGCGAAAACATTAAATATCAAAATCGAAATCGATCCGTGGCCCGTTATTTCATTTCCTATGTTTGATCTGAGCAATAAATCGAAAGTACAAAAAATGAACCGTTATTTGTTTTTTGGTATCAGATTCATAAACGAATAAGGAAATAACAAACCGTGTTTTCATTTTCCGATTTTGGAATCTCAGTTGAATATGAAAAGAACGAATGATACACGGATTTGGTTGGTTCACACTTACGTGAGCATTTGACATTTTGTTTTACATGAAGAAAAAATGATTGGATTTTGATATAAAAATACAAAGAAATGTGTTTGTTGTCAATTATTTGGCATGCATTGTTAAATAGGGTACAATATGACTGCAGATGTCATCTTTAAGAGTTAAAACAATTATTTCATCTGGACTTTAAAGTCTTGTTTCTGAAGTAAAAATGAAAATAAAACGGAGCCATTTTCATAAAGAGGATACTAACTTTTTACTCAATAACTTTTATTGCATTTTAAAAAGAAATTTTCTCTTTACATGGAAATCTTTGCTGTGATGACACAAAGCAGCATTAACAGCTGTCAGCTTAAACACTATCATTCATAGAAAGTTGCATATAAACAGGAAGCTCCTGTCGTTTGTATAAAACCCTAAAATCGATCCATTTCTACACTAAAGCTGCTACCTTCCTACAAAGAGTAAAGTACAAAACTGTGACCTTTCATATACATTCCTGCTTTATACTTTTCATATACATTTATATGTATTTCAACAAGAACATACTACTTTCTTCACAACAACAAAAAATAATGGAAATAAAAATACAGAAAATGGACAAAAAAATAAAACATATAAAAGTGGAATACTTTTTTGTAAAATGCATTCATACTCTTTATCTTCTTGTCCATGAAGTCAAAACATTTATGTTTTAAATCATCGTCTTTGAGGTTTGTCGGAGGTTTTAAAATGTCTGGTGTGGTGGCAGCGGACAAGGAGGAGCTATTTAAATAAAACTGACCTGAAATGGAGGAACCAGAAAACTGAAGCTCCTCTTTTCTGTCCATAAATACTTACTATATTAATTATTGTCATAGCTGCATTCAGTATATTTATCTTTTTAATGTCATGCTGTTTTAAAACTGCATGTTGTTGTACTGGTAGCTTGTACACTAACAGTAAATGTAAGAACCAGGAGCAGTATGAAAACCCTGTATCTCCAAAGTATCAGTTACTGATTCACAGGTTTTTACATTTAATATTTTAAAGTATAGGAGAATATTTTGATTATTTTCAGAGCCAAAAGGAAAAAATATGAATGACAAATCCCACACTTCATTATAAATACACTTAACAGAAATATAACAAATTATAGTATGACACTTTGGAGATAAAAGGTTTCAAGTCATATTCTCCTAAAAGAAAAGTATCATCAGGTAAAAACCTATTTTTATGGATCAAAACCACCTAACTAAAGTGATTCTCCTTTGGTTAAATAAGGTTTGACCATGTTATGCTTATGAACACATTCAAAACTCCCTCGCATCTTGTTTAGCAGTGACATCACATTCTGTGTCCCTGAACGCCACCCCGAGCTGATGGGGTTGTCCACCTGTCCGCCACCATCACAACCAGACCACAGCAAACACACAGGTTTACCATTCGCACCTGAACACAACCCGCCGCAGACAGATGACCCACCACCGTCATAAGACTGTTCCACTCGGCACTGTTATACAAGTTTTTACCAGCAGCCGAGTTTGAGTTTGTTGAGTTCAGACAAGTGAAATATGTTAATGTGACGGAGGAATCGGTCGTCTCCACGGCGGGTTTAGACCAGGACTCTGAACAATTTCATCAGATTTATTTAATTAATTTTGTCAGTGTTACCTATTTGTTACTTTGTTTTGTGATCAATAGAAATTACAGTTTGATCGGTTGGAATTCAATGTGGAAAAAAACAAATTCCTTCACAGGAAAAGTCAAACTGATTTTTCTGAATTAGCTAACGTCACATTAACATCTGAGAACTTTTATTTAACTGTTTAGTAAATCCACTTGTTTTCTGTCTCCTTCACAGTCAGATTCTTCTGTGTCTGTCCTGTATAGAGGAGATGGGTTTAGCTTGGAAGCAGGTGGAAACTGTTAGCCTAGCTCCATCAAGAGAGGAAAATCCACATTTGGCGTGTTATTCGTTTGTTTACTGAACAGGTGGAGAAACATGGTTTTATTTGCAGTTAGCACTGAAGCTAGTTTGTGATTGGAGGCTAGCAGTTTCCCTCTGCTTGCAGTTTTACGCTAAGCTAGGCTAGACTGACCATATCTCTCTCTGTAGCCTCCTGGACTCACTGAGATGAACCATCAGACACCAGAGGACACAGAGAACAACATGGATTCTTTCAAATGAGTTTAACATTTAAAAGAGCAAATCATTTGAAGTATGTGATCCATTATTTCTCATCAGCAACATGGAGGAGCCATGAAGTCCTCAAAATAACGGAGCAGGAAGTAATTTCAAAACAAACATCATCACTGTGGTGACTCTCACGTCCTGACGGGTAGCTTCACCGTCACACATCGGGACTGCATTTCCCAGAAACCACCTGCTCTGTTACCTGTGGGGCGATTTTACACCAGGGGCCAGATGCATAAAACTCTGTAGATTCCCGACTGGTATGCACATGGACAGGTACGTCAACACATTATCACAGAAAATCGTTACATATAAGTTATAAACAAGTTAAGGCACAAAAGTAGAAATTGTGGTTACAGGTGAGACCTGAGAGGCAAACAGAGTATCAGGAGTTTAAGGACCACAGCTAGGAAAAAACACACAAAACAAAATCATAATATTACAAGAAAAAAGTCCAAATATTTCAGGAAAAAATGGTAGTAAAACATAATGAACAAAAAGTAATATTTCAAGAAAAAAGAAAAAAGTCCAAATAATTTTAATAAAAAAGTTCAAGCCAAAAGTCAAAATCTTATGATATTTTAAAACTAAAAATATTTCATCTCTTTTTTCTTGCAGTGTTACAGTTCAAAATATTTACTTTTTTATAAAAATATTTCAACTTTGTCTTGTAATATTAATTATTTTTTATCAAAATATAAAAAAAGTTTTTTTTTTTTCCAAAGTAACTTTTTCTTGTAATACAATGATTTTATTCCAGGTATTTTCGAACTGAAATGTTCAGACTTTGGCCCAAGTATTTTTTACAGATCACGGTAGCAACCGAACAGACGTCTGTTAGTCCAGTGGTTGAAATCAAGGACCTCAGTGATTTTGAATAGACTTAAAAATGGTCCTCAATTCAGCTTTACACCTCTTGGTCTTCTGGTTAGAAGAGTTTCTTTACTTTCTGTTAACTAGTTTCTAATTTATTGTTATTGTTTTATTTTTCATTATAATTCATCCAGTTCTAAAAACATCTTTAAACAGATCGTCTGTTGTTTAGCACAGTTAGCATTACCATTAGCACTCCATTAGCATCACACTGTATTGGAGGCGTGTTGGAGGTGTGTTGGTGCGTGTTGGAGGCGTGTTGGTGGCGTGTTGGAGGTGTATTGGAGGTGTGTTGGAGGTGTGTTGGTGGCGTATTGGAGGCATGTTGGAGGCGTGTTGGAGGCGTGTTGGTGGCATGTTGGAGGTGTGTTGGTGGCATATTGGAGGCCAATTGGAGGCGTGTTGGTGGTGTATTGGAGGCCAGTTGGAGGCGTGTTGGAGGCGTGTTGGAGGCGTGTTAGAGGCGTGTTGGTGGCATGTTGGAGGTGTGTTGGAGGTAGAGATGTTCCGATACCATTTTTTCCCTCCCGATGCCGATACCGAGTACCGATATCGATACCAGTGTGTTAAAAAAAAAGAAAAAATCATACTACGTCTGCATGACTGTGATACAGGGGCGGACTGGGACAATAATTCAGGCCGGGAATTTGATACCATCCCAGGCCACCACCACCCGATTAACACAAAACACCAAGAGTGAGTTAGGTTGGGCGCCTACTTATGTAAGAGTGTAAAATAATAAAGCAAAGGCTCCACATGCGCTCACACACAGCTTTTTCTTTCCCCTACAAAATAAATGTTTCTGTTGTGCTGCAATAACCTGTACTCAAATCACATAATTTCTATTCTATTTCATTTACTACTACACTTTTAATGTGCAGGCTGCACATTATATAGTGTATAATTAAAATTAAATTACTGTTACATTAAACAAGGAAACTTCAAACACACACAGAAAGAAATTTGCAATATCCTTTGTTACAACTTAAAACATTTGTTTTATTAAATCCGTTTTAGCCCTAGTTGTCACCACTAGTGTTTAATGTCTTACCTGCTCCCTTACTGACAAACATGTCAGTTATTTTACAGCACTTCGCTGCATCTGAGGCCAGTGCTTTTTAGCTTTTTAAGCCTCTCCCTCTCTGCTCCACCTTTCCTCTTGGGCTGTCGATCTCGCTCTATTTTCCAAGCATGTAGAACTACAGGTGAGGGAGGAGGGAGAGAGGAGGGGGACGGGGGCGTAACTTGGTGTGTGTGTGTGTCTGCCTGCAGTGCTGTGACAGAGAGCCTCAGAAAAAGAGAGGAGGGGGTGTGTTTGTGCCCAACGTTGCTGCTCAGTCTGTGTGAGCTTCAGCAAGGCAGATACCCTAATGGTGGTTGGTCCCGACCATCGGCAATCATCGAGCGGGCCAGTTCAGTGGACTGGCCACCGGGAAATGTCCCGGTGCTCCTGATGGCCAGTCCGCGACTGCTGTGATATGATTATCACGTCTTCAAATGTTTGATTAAGTTGCTGGTGTTCAAATTTGCAACACTCGTGCCACCCCTCGAAATTGCTTTTTTGCATATGTTGCATGTCGCCGTCTTACTGGTGGGAACATCCACTGTAAACTACTGCCAAACTGCCGACCGATGATGCGCTAACGTTAGCTCCTTTTAACAGGTGTCAGGTGATCAATTCTTCTTTGCCCCTCTAAAACAGCAGCTGCCGATGGCAGCACAGTGCAACTGTTTTAAGAGCGGCGAAGAAGAACTGTGTCAGAGCTAACTGAGCTAACCAGTAAATAGATTCCTATTTCTAATAAATTACGTGGTATTGGATCGGTGCCTGGACTCCGGTACTCGACGATACCGATGCCAGAATTTTCGGCAGTATCGGAGGCATTCCTGATACTGGTATTGGAATCGGAACAACTCTAGTTGGAGGCGTGTTGGAGGCGTGTTGGAGTTGTGTTGGTGGCGTGTTGGAGGTGTGTTGGAGGTGTGTTGGTGGCGTGTTGGAGGTGTGTTGGAGGTGTGTTGGTGGCGTATTGGAGGCCAGTTGGAGACATATTAGAGGCCAGTTGGAGGCGTGTTGGGGGCGTATTGGTGCATGTTGGAGGCGTATTAGAGGCACATTAGAGGCCAGTTTGTGGCGTGTTGGAGGCGTGTTGGAGGCGTATTGGAGGTATATTAAAGGCCAGTTGGAGGCGTATTGGAAGCATGTTGGTGGTATGTTGGAGGCATGTTGGAGGCGTGTTGGTGGCATATTGGAGGCATGTTGGCTGCAGTTCAGTTCTTAGTAACTAAGATTAATAGACGTCACATGTTTCAGTAAAGGAAGCTGCAGTTACATGACATCATGGCAAAAAGCTGCGGTCATGTGTCGCCACGGCGACTGTGATGAAGATCAGTTTTTGTTAAAGTCTGTGAGCTTCTCTTTGTGAGGGATGGCAGTACAGTAGTACAGTAGTATAAACATCTTCAGCGAATCAAAGTTAAAGTGAACAGTTGTACCTGAATGCCTCGCTCACAGCCAACACATCACCTGACAGCTGAGGTTGTATTAAAGACATCCTACTGTGGACAGACTGAGGAACACTTGAGAGCGGGTCAACAATAAACTATTTTTGTTGGTTAAAGTGAATTTGAATGAAATCATCACTTTCCACCTTTAGTGTTTCTGACTCTGTCCAGCAGGGGGCAGCGCTGCATCTTTTAGGAGGTGTGTCTTAAGAGCAGTGTGGGGGCAGGGCTCCACTGGCCATGGGGGTGGTGATGAGGTGTCGGGGAGCAATCGCAGGAGCAGGGGGGGGCAGGCTTACCTAACACCCCACCAGAGTCCAAAGGGTACTCCAAGATGGAGGCCGGCGCCGCCAGAGCGTACGGGTAGTCGTACGGTGCAGCATAGATCAGACCAGACTCCGGCCCCGTCCCCTGCATCAGAGCCGCTGGGTGAGGCGTCCCATTGGGCAGCACCGTCTGGATCTGACGAATCAGGGGCATGAGGGTGGGGCCTGTGGGGGCAGGTGTACGCAGAGCTGTGGGCGGGGGAACAACAGGGGCCGGGCCTGAGAGGAAACGAGATGTCTGAGAGGAGGCTGCGAGAGAGAAAGCGAGGGAGGCTGAAGAGGAGAGGAGGAAAGTAGTTAGTGCAGAATAAGGTCTGGTTGGTCAGATCTCTGATTGATCTCTGATTAGTCGGTTTCTTACAGGGTTTGATGTTAGCGTCTCTGTACGTCCCGTTCAGGATGGCTAACTCCATTAGCTGCATCTTCTTCAGACTGTCCTCCCCCTCCGCCTGAAACACACACAGAGACAACCAATATGTACTCTGACACAAAACATACAAATATAAATTATTACTATTATTGTACGTAGTAGTGAGTGTAATACGTATGTACACCGATCAGCCATAACATTGTGAATAACACGTTTGTTGTTGCTGTGCACCTTTACCTCTGTCTCTGTCCTTCTGTCGTTACCTCTGTCTCTCTCTCAGTCTCTCTCTCTTTCTTTCTCCCACATAGAGTCGGGGTCCGTCCTAGGTTTCTGCCTCTTAAAAGGAAGTTTTTCCTTGCCGCTGTCGCCAAGGTCTTGCTCATGGTGGGAACTGTTGGGTCTTTCTAGTCTTCAGACCACTCAAAGCGCTTTTTACTCTACAGCCACATTCACACAGCATAACACAGCAACGGGAGCAATTTAGGGTTCAGTATCTTGCTTAAGGATACTTTGACGTGCGGCAGGAGCAGGCGATCGAACCAACAACCTTCCGATTAGTGGACGACCCACTCTGCTTTTGAGCAGCCCCTCTATCATGGCTCCTGTCAGTGGGGGGGGTATATCAGGCAGACAGTGAACAGAGTTGATGTGTTAGAAGCAGGAAAAATGGGCAGCGTGAGGATCTGATCCACTTTGACAAGAACCACATTGTGATGGACGACTGGGTCAGAACATATCCAAACCTGCAGCTCTTGTGGGGGTTCCCGGTCTGCAGAGGTCAGTACCTATCAAAAGTGGTCCAAGGAAGGAACAGAACCAGAGACAGGGTCATGGGGGGTTGAGGCTTATTGATGTAGGTGGGGAGTGAAGGCTGGCCTGATGTCTGTTGATCCAACAGACGAGCTACTGTAGCTCAAACTGCTGAAACAGTTCATGCTGGTTCTGATAGAAAGGGGTCAGAACACACAGTGCAGAGCAGTCTGTTGGTCTGGGACCAGTCAGGGAGTCCAGTGCTCACAGTGTTATACTGCTGATCATTGTGTGTGTACACAATGATCAAGTATTCCCTGAAATAGCTCACCTGAGCTCCAGGAACGGGTGTGGCTTCCAACAGGCAGTGATAACTTTTAAAATCGGCCAATCACTAATACCCAAATGATTTCTACACTGTTACCTGTACTACACCTGTTCTAACGAGCTCATTAACTCATTAAAGTTAATATATCAAATTGTAAACTAACTTCTGAATAACTCCCAACATTTGAACCTGACACTTCCTCTTTTTTCGCCGGGCAACAGTTGTCATGGCTCCTCATTGGTCAGATGAAATCAAGGAAGTGAAAGTGGAGGAAGTGTGGGTCAGCAGAATCAATGGACTTCCTGTCTGACTCACACACACACTCACACACACACACACACACACACACACACACACACACTCACACGCACACACTTGCAGTCTGAAGCTTCATAATGATAATGCACCTATAGTACATAATACATGGTGCAGTACATATGAGGTGCGTGGTCAGGTAGAGGTCAGAGGTAAGAGGTCAGGTGACTCACAGCGGGCACCAGCAGCTTGTTGACTTCCTCTACTGCTCGTTTGAGTTTGATCTCGGCTCGATTCTGAGCGTCTTCCACCGTAATGAGGACGTGAAGATCTTCGTTCAGGTGCTCCCAGTTCGGCTTCCCTCGATTCTGCTCCTCCTGCACAGAATCATTAATAATGTGACATTAATTCAAAGATCACTATCACTAATTAAAACCTTCTACAGCAGGATGATAACAGAGGTCATATGAACAGTACCGACATTGGTCAAAGATCAGAGATGACACAGCACATTCAGCAGGAAGAGGACCAAGCATAAAGCCAACAGAACTACAGGTCTGTAGTCTGGAACCAGACCAGTCTCGAGTTATTTGGGTTTTTCTTTCTGCCTTCAACTGGAAAAAGGCTGAGGAGGTCACAGAGGACACTGGAACACTCAACTCTTTTTAGATCTTCTTTCTTTGTATTTATTTAAATGTTCATAGCCAGGTTTAAGAGGTTGATATTTCTATATTATACTCCACCAGCATGAATTACTCCGACAAATTAGATAAATAATCAGAGATTATTATTAATCGCAGAGGAGCTAAACCAACAACCTTCCAATTATTAGTGGACGACCCGCTCTGCCTCTGAGCCACAGCCGCTCCTAAAAAAGCATCTAAAAATGTATGTTAATATAATTACATTTTTTTAATTTTAAAACACTTAAATTAATAACTGCTCATTATAGGTCTCTATAAGCATTACAAACACTTACTTTAAATATGATCCATTAAATCCTATAATAATGTAAATAAAAACAATATGAATCATTGCTACTGAAAACCCATGTTGTCATAAATAAAGATTTTGATATAATAAACTAGCAAACAGGTGTAAACTGCACACTGCTATTTCTAAACATTTCATAATTAGCCTTGCCAATCAACTGAAATGACCAGAGACTAATACACTTAAAGGAAAACCACTCGCATACCAACAGCGTCTGAGTCTGTACACTGATGCCCACCCTGCCTTTGTAGTTTTCCGCCTCTTTTGTTTCACACTTGAGCATGTTTGCCAGAACTTGTTATAAGGAGTTCGGTCTAGACCTGCTCCATTTGAAAAGTGTCCTGAGATAACTTCTGTTATGAATTGGCGCTATACAAATAAAATTGAATTGAATTGAATTGAACTAAAACTAATTCACCTTCAGTTGGCGTCTTTTCCCACCTGGGTGCAGCAATTCACTGAACTCACCTCACGTTAATTCCTCAGCTCAGGACCGCCCTCTCCTGTGACATTTCATCCTTCTGCTATTGATATGGAGAAATTAACCAAGGCTTAACTTAATAAAATAAATGAATAACCTGTTCTTTTAAGGCTCTTTTTTAGAGCAGATACATCCGATCAGATTTCCTGCAGTCCAGGACCTGGTGTGGTCAATCACAACCGTGATCCTCCAATTGGTTGAAGGTCCCTCCAGGATTCCTTTGGGATTCCTGATTTCACGACAGCTTTTCTAGGAACCTTTGATGCATGTTGTGATGTTTTTATGCATTTTTTACGATGAATTTGCGGAAGAAAACAACTGTGATTGGTTTTGGGAGGATTATATTCACTTCCTGTTTGGTGTGAAAACTCATCAGACTGTGAAACCAGATCCTCTGCTCTGATGAAACCAAGAACCAGAAACCAAACCGCTCTTCATCCCACTGCTGTGGACGTGATCCGCAGCAGCATGGACTGGGGGGCTGGGCAGTGTTGAGATATCCTTCATGAAAACCTGGTCCAGAATGTTCAGGACCTCAGACTGGGACTGAAAATGATCCAACCTGACACAGCCTCAGAGGAGCTGCAGAAAATTCCCAAATTCAGGTCTGGAAAGCCCATCAAGTCCGACCAACTGACTGCAATCTTGAGTCTTCTTCCATACAGCATGATGTTCATTTAGTAACTGATCCCATTTAGAGTAAAACAGACCATAAAGCAGGGTATGCTTTAGGGCGGGGCTACTTTGTGATTGACAGCTCATTCTCAGCGAGTGTGTCCAGCTCAACGCACCAAACTCAGATCAAACTGTCAAACAGTGCTGATCAGATATGGATTTCTCATTCACACACACATACTGATATGATAATAAATAACTGATCAGTGTGTTTCAGCAGGAGTTAAACCCAGCACCCTCCTTTTTTCACCCTCCTCCTGCTTCTCCTCCTCCTCCTCTTCCTCCTCCTGCTCCTCCTGCCCCTACTCCTTCTCCTCTTCCTCCTGCTCCTCTTCCTCCTGTCCTCCATCTGGTTTCTGTTGACCTCCTGTTGTTCTTTCTGTCTCATGTATCTCTGTTAGCGTAGCAGGTGGCTAACCTCGTTAGCATCAGACACACAGAAAGACAAACACTGTGTGTTTTGTCAGCAGTTTGAGCTGAAATGTTTGAAATTGTTTCCATCTTTTCTTTCTTCTTACTCTTCACTTTATTTTCTCTTCAGGACTTCAGTGACAATCCGCTTTAAACACATTTTCCACCAGCAGAACCTTCAGCCAGAGAGCAGCTGGTGGACACAGAGACATAGAGACACACTGCGGTGGATAAACGGGAGCTGCCGACACATGCTTGAGATATAGTCTGATCAAAGAAACTCAAATATAATTTATTGATCCATTCACTTTGGCCAAAATAAACAATAAACAAACACGATTTAAATTCCCTATCTGAAAACTACCCATCTTTCTTCACTTGTCTTCATAGAAGATTTGGAGTTAGATTAAATGCTCCCCACTATCTAACTTACAGACAATCAATTAATCAATCAATTTCGATGCTTAAAGGCGATCTATCAGCGACGCAAAGTCCATGGAGTATCACACTGATCAGGTAGGTATCAGTAAGTCAACCGTCTCGGTGTCCAACAGCTGCAGTGGAGTGAACCGACTCACACTTATGTGTCCAGCCTCCAGTAAACATGTCACCTGTTTCAACGGCCAATCAGCTTGTTGCAAAGTCAGCTGCTCAATCTATTACAAACTCTGGACGGACCAAAGACAATCACAAACAACAAATTTCATCGTTCCATCAATAAAATGCAGCTGCAGACAGTAACTCGCTCACTGTCACCACTTCCTACTTTACCTGTGACATCAGTGTCGTTGCTATGGAGACAATACATTGGGCCTCGTGCAAGAAGCGACAAACAGACAAATGTTCTCTTATTTTTGTTCGTATCCATGATTTATTCTAGATTTAGAGAAATTATAGTGATTGATTATTACTTATTGCTTCACTGATCTCTATTAAAGACTGCGTTCAGCTGTATTATAAACAATATCAATATCTTATTATAATCAACATCAATATCTTATTATAAACAATATCAATATCTTATTATAAACAATATCAGTATCTTATAATCAATATCAATATCTTATTATAAACAATATAAATATCTTATTATAATCAATATCAGTATCTTATTATAATCAACATCAATATCTTATTATAAACAATATCAATATCTTATTATAAACAATATCAGTATCTTATAATCAATATCAATATCTTATTATAAACTATATAAATATCTTATTATAATCAATATCAGTATCTTATTATAATCAATATCTTATTATAATCAATATCAATATCTTATTATAATCAATATCAATATCTAATTATAATCAATATCAATATCTTATTATAATCAATATCAGTATCTTATTATAATCAATATCTTATTATAATCAACATCAATATCTTATTATAAACAATATCAATATCTTATTATAAACAATATCAGTATCTTATAATCAATATCAATATCTTATTATAAACTATATAAATATCTTATTATAATCAATATCAGTATCTTATTATAATCAATATCTTATTATAATCAATATCAATATCTTATTATAATCAATATCAATATCTAATTATAATCAATATCAATATCTTATTATAATCAATATCAGTATCTTATTATAATCAATATCTTATTATAATCAATATCAATATCTTATTATAATCAATATCAATATCTAATTATAATCAATATCAATATCTTATTATAATCAATATCAGTATCTTATTATAATCAATATCTTATTATAATCAATATCAATATCTTATTATAATCAATATCAATATCTAATTATAATCAATATCAATATCTTATTATAATCAATATCAGTATCTTATTATAATCAATATCAGTATCTTATTATAATCAATATCTTATTATAATCAACACAAACTTATTATAAACAATATCAATATCTTATTATAAACAATATCAGTACTTATAATCAATATCAATATCTTATTATAAACTATATAAATATCTTATTATAATCAATATCAGTATCTTATTATAATCAAATCTTATTATAATCAATATCAATATCTTATTAAACAATATCAATATCTAATTATAATCAATATCAATATCTTATTATAATCAATATCAGTATCTTATTATAATCAATATCTTATTATAATCAATATCAATATCTTATTATAATCAATATCAATATCTAATTATAATCAATATCAATATCTTATTATAATCAATATCAGTATCTTATTATAATCAATATCTTATTATAATCAATATCAATATCTTATTATAATCAATATCAATATCTAATTATAATCAATATCAATATCTTATTATAATCAATATCAGTATCTTATTATAATCAATATCAGTATCTTATTATAATCAATATCTTATTATAATCTATATCGATATCTGATTATAATCAATATCAATATCTTATTATAAACAATATCAATATCTTATTATAATCAATATCAATATGTGAACTGGTGTGTGTTCAGATATAGATATTGATTGATTGGTGATTGGTGGTGATTGGTGTGTTTGCAGAGTTGTGAACTTTAGGATCTTCCAATCAAAGGTTTCATTCTCTCTCACACTTTCTCCTCTTTCCTATCTTCATCTGTGAGTCTTCATCATCATCATCTTCATCATCATCATCATCATCTTCATCATCATCATTGTTCTGACTCCTGTCAGTATCAGTGCTTGTTAATGCTATGTAGCGACATCTGGTGGTGATTTGAATCATTGTGTTTTAAGGAGATTGCCAACAGTACATACATGCAGACTGAATGCTCCACCAGTTATTTGTCAATCCTTGGAGTAGATCCATCAGTGAGTATGGTCGCTCAGTTGTTTTAAGAAGTTGAAACGTGTAGACATTGTACTACTGTTGTTGTGTTTATAAATATAAATGTTTATTTTCAGTTAAAATCGGGCTAAGGCTAACGCTAATCGCGATGCTAACCGCTAGCATGGGTTTAGCTGGCCTATATATATAAGTTATAGAGTTAGCACAGGCTGTTAAGCCTCATGATCTACTTGCCTGTTTTATTAAGCTCATTTGCTTATGGGTTTTGAGTGAATCATATTGTGTATATGCTGTGTTTATTATACTTATGTTGATGTTGTTGATGAAGTCCTCCAGAAACTCTAATCGGACATCTGTCAGCGCCACTGCGACGAGGGCTAGAGCCAAGGCCGAAGCAGCAAAAATAAAGGTGTCTTACGCAGAGAAGGAGGCAGCCATTATGAAAGAAAGGGTTTTGATTGAGGCAAATCTTCATGTGTTGCAGCAAGAGAAGGAAGCTGCAGCAGCAGTAAAAGAGGCAGCAATATATGAAGAGGCAGCAGCAGCTGAACAGATGGAAAGAGACCCTCTTGGTGAGCTTCAGGATTTGACTTTTGAAGATCCAACAAAACGCACCAGAGACTATATAGAAACTCAACCATTTGAACAACATGCTCACCAGGAGCTTCATGATGATATGCCACAGCAGCCAGTCCAACAGGACAAAACCTTAAGACTCCCATGCCCTATCAACGGTGCACAGAATACAGTTTACAGATCACTTAAGGAGGAAGATAACTGCAAACCCAGTGCAGATGAGGGCTATGCACCTCCACCTACTAAAAAGGCTCCCTATATCCCAAACAAATACCCAGCTGCTACCTTTCAAGGACCTGATCAGGTCCAGTACAAGACATACTCACCTTCAACTCCTCAGACTGACCTAGCCCAGTATCTGGTGAGAAAAGAAATGGTTAGCTCTGGGCTCCTTGCCTTTGATGACCGTCCAGAAAACTATTGGGCATGGTAATCGTTTTTCCTAGCAGCCACAAGGGAGCTATATCTATCTGACCAGGAAGAGCTTAACTTCCTCGTAAAATGGCTTAGGCCAGAGTCATCAGTACAAGCCAAGCGGTTAAGGTCAGTGCATGTTGACAATCCTAGAGCAGGTGTGTATATGATATGGCAGCGCTTGGAGGAAATGTATGGAAGCCCAGAGGTTATTGAAAATGCCCTACTGAGAAGACTAGAAACTTTCCTAGTCATCTCTAACAGAGACACACACAAGCTCGTGGAATTAGGTGACTTGCTAAGAGAGCTAGAAGCTGCTAAAGCGGAGGGATAATTGCCTGGACTCGCATATCTAGACACATCAGGGGGTGTAAATCAAATAGTGGAAAAGCTTCCTTTCTCCCTCTGGGAACGCTGGATAGGCCAGGGATCCAAATACAAAGAGGATTTTCATTTCCCTTTCCCACCATTCAGCTTTTTTGTCAACTTTGTATGTTCCCAGGCCAAGACCGGCAACGACCCCAGTTTTGCATTTAGCCTCTCCTCTACCCCTAGTCACGCAAAAGTCGAGAAGTCACCAAAGTACCTCCCCAGAACAACTGTGACAGTCAGAAAAACGGCCGTCACTGCTGCAACTCCCGCTCCACAGGCTAATGCAGCTGCCAAAGATGAACCGGACAAACAGTGTCCTATACATAATAAACCATCAAACTATCAAAATGTTGTGGGTTTCGAGGGAAACATCTTGATGAGAGGAAAACATACTTGAAGGAGAATTCAATCTGCTTTCGATGTTGTGCCAGCACCAAGCATATGGCCAAAGATTGCAGGGCAACACTCAAATGTAAGGAATGTGAAAGCAACAGACACATCTCAGCGATGCATCCTGGTCCGGCCCCTTGGTCGCTTGGTGAGCAACTTCAGCACGCATCTGAGGACGAGCAAAGCGGGGAGCGTGAAGAGCAAACACCCCCTATAGTCATGTCCAAGTGTACAGAAATATGTGGTGGTTCCCCCAAGGCCAGATCCTGCTCAAAAATCTGCTTAGTCAAGGTTTATCATGCCGACAATCCAAGCAAGGCTCACAGGGTGTATGCAGTACTAGATGACCAAAGCAACCGGTCGTTAGTAAAATCACAATTCTTCGATCTGCTAGACATTAACAGCAGTGCATCCCCCTATACTCTTAAAACATGCTCCAGCTCAGTGGAGACTACAGGGCGGAAAGCAAGTAACATTATAGTGGAGTCTCTCAACGGTAAAACCAAGGTGAATCTTCCTACTCTGCTAGAATGTAACAACCTACCTGACGACAGATCAGAGTGCACTAAATATTTTCCTCATCTCACTCCTGTGGCCGATAAGATCCCTCCTCTTGACACTAGTGCTCCTATTCTCCTACTCCTAGGCAGAGAAATTTTAAGCTTGCATAAGGTGCGTGAACAGCGTAACAGGCCTCACAACTCACCGTACGCCCAGCGCCTTGACCTTGGCTGGTTATGCTTAAGTGGTGCTCACAAGAACGAGGAAGTTAATGCCTACAAAACACATGTCCTTCAAAATGGACGCTCCTCTTTTCTTAAGCCATGTACCAACAAGATCCAGATAACAGAGAGAGTAAAGGGTCCAGTGCAGCCTAGTCTTCAAACATTGTCTTACAGCCAGGAGATCTTTCAAGAGACTTGTCAGGATGGTTTGGGGGAAAGTGTGTTTCAAAAAACACCTGAAGATGAGAACCTAGCCATGTCAGTAGATGACAACAACTTTCTTAGAATAATGGAAAGCGAAGTGTACATGGATGACCAAAATCACTGGGTGGCACCGCAACCTTTTCATTTACCTCACAAGACCCTTCCTAATAAATTCAGAACGCTGCAGCACGAGTACTGACAGGAACTAGAAAAAGAGATCACATCTCTCCTGTACTAGCTTCTCTGCATTGGCTCCCTGTAAAATGTAGAATAGAATTTAAAATCCTCCTCCTCACCTATAAAGCTCTTCATGGTCAGGCCCCTTCATATCTTAAAGAGCTCATAGTACCCTATTACCCCACTAGAACACTACGTTCTCTGAATGCTGGGCTACTTGTGGTTCCTATAGTCTCTAAAAGTAGAACAGGAGCCAGAGCCTTCAGTTACCAAGCTCCTCTTCTGTGGAACCAGCTTCCATTTGTGGTTCGGGAGGCAGACACCCTCACCACATTCAAGAGTAGGCTTAAGACATTCCTCTTTGATAAAGCTTATAGTTAGGGCTGGATCAGGTGAGTCCTGAACCATCCCTTAGTTATGCTGCTATAGGCCTAGACTATCGGGGGATTTCCCATGGTGCACTGAGCTCCTCCCTTCCTCTCTCTTTCTGCACTCATTCATGTCCCATTAATGCATGTTACTAACTTTACTTCTTCCCCGGAGTTCTTGTGCTTTCTCGTCTTGCAGGTTCTTGTCGATCCTGGTGGAGCCTCCTGCCATGGTCCTGCTAGATTGCCATGGCCAATACTGTTGTTGCTGTGCACCTGTCTGTCTGTCTCTCGCTCTCTCTCTCTCTCTGCCTCTCTCTCTCTCTCTCTCTCTCTCTCTCTCTCTCTCTCTCTCTCACCCCCAACTGGTCGAGACAGACGACCACCCACCTAGAGCCGGAGGATCTGTCCTAGGTTTCTGCCTTTTAACAGGCAGTTTTTCCTTGCCCTTGTCGCCAAGTGCTTGCTCATGGTGGTACTGTTGGGTCTCTGTAATTAATGTTTTAAAGAGTTTGGTCTAGACCTGCTTTATTTGAAAAGTGTCCTGAGATAACTTCTGTTATGAATTGGCGCTATACAAATAAAATTGAATTGAATTGAATAACAGAGAACAGGCCTCCCAGAGACTCTCCACTCTCCAGCGCTCATTCAGAAGGAGACCTGACATGAAACAGCACTTCTTTGACTTTATGCAGAAAGTCATCGACAACCAGCAGGCAGAGCCGGCTCCTCAATTGCAGCCAGGGCAAGAATGCTGGTATTTACCTACCTTTGGTGTCTACCACCCACAGAAGCCTAGGAAAATCAGGGTGGTTTTCGATTCCAGCGCAGTGTTTAAGGGAACGTCATTGAATGACATGCTCCTCAGTGGACCCAACCTCAACAACACTCTAGTTGGAGTATTACTAAGGATCAGGAGGGAGCAAACAGCCATTACAGCAGATGTAGAACAAATGTTCTATGGATTCAAGGTCAGAGGGGACCTTGCAATTTCTTGCGATTTCTGTGGCACCGAGATAATGATCCAGATAAGGAGATCATTGACTACTGGATGACTGTACATGTGTTCGGGAACAGCCCGTCACCTGCTGTAGCAACATATGGGCTGAGGAAAGTTGCAGAACAAGGAGAAACTGAACACGGCACGGATGCGAAGGATTTGTCTACAGAAATTTTTACGTCGATGATGGTCTCGCCTCAGTGTCAAAGGAGGTTGACACTATTGATCTCCTGCAACGCACCAGGGCCCTACTAGCCAACTTACGACTTCACAAAATAGCCTCAAATAGTACAAAGGTCATGGAGGCCTTTTCTCCAGAAGAACGAGCAAGTGACTTTAAGGATCTAGATTTAGGAGCAGACCCCTTGCCCCTCCAACGCAGTCTGGGTGTAAGCTGGAAACTCCAGACTGACAGTTTCACTTTCAGAGTGTCAAGAGATGTGAAAACATTCACTCGGAGAGGCATTCTGTCCACTTTAAATAGTCTTCATGATCCCCTTGGATTTGCTTCCCCCATTACAGTGCAAGGCAAGGCACTTGTAAGAGACCTTTCCTCCGAGCGGTATGAATGGGACACACCTCTCCCAAAGGAGAAAGAGGCACTGTGGAAAGCATGGACAGACTCGTTAACTGAGCTGGAACAGATTCACATTCAGCGAACATACGTTCCAGTCTCCATGTCATGTTGCAAAGCGATAGACTTTTGCGTTTTCTCAGACGCCTACCTGTGTGTCTTGGACTCTGATGGAAAATGGCATGTAGGTTTTGTAATGGGAAAATCAAAGCTGACTCCTTACCCCATGCACACTGTGCCACGCCTGGAGTTGTGCGCAGCAGTCTTGGCAGTCGAGCTGGCAGAACTGATCCAATCGGAAATAGATGTCGAGTTGAAAGCAGTCAGGTTCTACACAGACAGTCATGTCGTGCTGGGTGACATCCACAACCGATCAAGAAGGTTCTATACCTATGTAGCTAACCGAGTAACTCACATTTGGAGCTCCACCAAACCAACACAGTGGCAGTATGTGCAAACTGATGAGAACCCTGCAGACCATGAAACCAGGCCGATTCCAGCAGCTAACCTGGCCTCATCCAGTTGGTTTCTTGGTCCTCAATTTCTCTGCCAGCCAAACACACATCAAGAGGATGAGGCAGAATCATTCAAGCTTGTGCAGCCAGATACAGACAAAGACATTCGGCCTGTAGTCACCTCTCTTGCAACCAAAGTCACAGAGCAGTCTCTTGGATCACAAAAATTCAAACACTTCTCTACTTGGAAGAGCCTTGTAAGAGGCATGACAAGTCTCATTCATGTAGCTAAGTCATTCTCCAGTGAGACTAAGAATGAATGTAAGGGATGGCATCAGTGTAGACAGCCACACACCACAGAGCGCAGTCAAGCCAAGACAAGTATCCCTAAGGCAGTGCAGGAGGATGTGTATCAGGAGGAGCTAAAATGTCTAACCCAAGGCATCAAAGTTCACCACCAAGGCCCTCTTGTGAAGTTGGATCCCTTCCTTGACGAGAATGGACTGCTTAGAGTGGGAGGTCGGATACACAAAGCAGATCTGAAAGATCAAGAGAAACACCCACTTATCCTTCCGGGTGGCCATCAGGTGACCACTCTCCTAGTCCGGCACTATCACAATAAAGTGGCACACCAAGGTCGCCACTTTACAGAGGGTGCACTACGCGCCGCTGGAGTCTGGATAGTAGGAGGGAAGAGGCTCATCTCCAGCATCATATTCAAATGTGTCATCTGCAAGAAGTTGAGGGGCAAGCCTGAAGTTCAAAAGATGTCTGATCTGCCCACTGACAGGTTGGCTATGGACCCACCTTTCACCCATGTAGGACTAGATGTTTTTGGTCCGTGGAATGTTGAAACCCGGCGAACACAAGGTGGTGCTGCTGAGAGCTGCTGAGAGCTGTCATTTTCACTTGCCTAAGTACAAGAGCCGTCCACCTGGAAGTAATTGAGTCTATGTCGACCTCAAGCTTCATCAACGCCTTGAGGTGTTTCCTGTCAATACGGGGACCTGTCAAACACCTCAGGTCAGATAGAGGCACCAATTTCATTGGTGCATGCAGAGAGCTTCAGATTAACACTGGCGACCCTGAGGTCAAGAACTACTTGCAAGCCCAGGGCTGTACATGGACCTTTAATGCACCTCATTCCTCACACATGGGAGGAGCTAGGGAGAGATTGATAGGAGTGGTTAGACGGATCCTGGATGCGCTGCTGGTGAAGGATGGAGCTACCAGACTTACCCATGAAGTCCTAACAACCTTGATGGCTGAGGTTATGGCCATCGTGAATTCCAGACCACTGGTCCCAATCTCGTATGATGCAGATATACCTGAAATGCTCTCGCCTGCCACGTTACTAACCCAAAAGGCAAGTGTAACTCCCGCACCCCTAGATGATTTCAAATTGGACCACCTATGCAAGGGACAGTAGCGCCAGGTCCAGAGCTTGGCGGACTCCTTCTGGAAAAGGTGGAGGCTGGAGTACTTAGCCACTCTTCAGCCCCGGAGAAAGTGGACCAAGGAGAAGCCTAATCTCCAGGGCGGTGACGTTATTCTGATAAAGGATGTTCAAGCAAGACGCAATCAGTGGCCTCTCGGACTGATAGTTGAGGCCATTTCCAGCTCTGACAGCAAGATCCGCAAGGTTATGGTGAAGACCTTTAGCCAAGGGACAATTAAGGAGTATCTTAGGCCCATTAGTGATGTTGTGTTACTGATACCAAAGGTAAAAGAATAGATGGTGGTATAACATAATTATACCAAGCGGGGAGTGCTCTGACTCCTATCAGTGTCAGTGCTTGTTAATGCTATGTAGCGACATCTGGTGGTGATTTGAATCATTGTGTTTTAAGGAGATTGCCAACAGTACATACATGCAGACTGAATGCTCCACCAGTTATTTGTCAATCCTTGGAGTAGATCCATCAGTGAGTATGGTCGCTCAGTTGTTTTAAGAAGTTGAAACATGTGTAGACATTGTACTACTGTTGTTGTGTTTATAAATATAAATGTTTATTTTCAGTTAAAATCGGGCTAAGGCTAACGCTAATCGCGATGCTAACCGCTAGCATGGGTTTAGCTGGCCTATATATATATAGAGTTAGCACAGGCTGTTAAGCCTCATGATCTACTTGCCTGTTTTATTAAGCTCATTTGCTTATGGGTTTTGAGTGAATCATATTGTAAATATGCTGTGTTTATTATACTTATGTTGATGTTGCACATATTTGACTGTAACATATTGTTTATTTTATACTGTATTGCAGTTTTACAAAAAAGAAAACAACCAGGATTTCAGTAAAGAAAACACTGAACTTGGAGTCCAGCCTACTGAGTCTTATTGTTGATGTTCGCTATCTGTATAACAATACAGTGACGTATCTGCCAGGACAGAATAATCATCATCATCATCATCATCATCATCATTACTACACAACGTGTGTGAGTGTGTGTGTGTGTGTGTGTGTGTGTGTGTGTCTGTGTCTGTGTTTGTGTGTGTGTGTGTTACCTTCTTCCTGTCTCTCATGGAGCCTCGCCCTCTCACCATGATCTTACATCCTGTCTCCGCCTCCAGCTGCTTCGCTGTCAGACCACGAGGACCCAGAATCCTCCCGACGAAGTTAAACTGACGACACAGAGAGATCACACTGTTAGAGCGGGGGGGGGTCTGTAGCACACACTGACCTCGGGGGGGGCATTAGGGGCTCTGCAGCACACACTGACCTCAGGGTGCTCCTTTGTGGGGACAAACAGTTTCTCCTGAAGTTGGACGTTTGGACCGACGGCGTCCGGCAGCTCGCTGATCCTCTCCGATCCGTTCAGAGTGTCGATGTACATTTCCTTCCTCACACGGCCGATCTCTGAAACACACACACAGCATGTGACAGGGTCCAACCTGAGGGTCGGGACCCCAGCAGAGGTCGCCAGAACTTCACAGGGGGGTCGTCTTCTAGATTATAATTGATCACAGTGTATATTATTATTATTATTATTATTATTATTGATCACAGTGTATATTATTATTATTATTATTATTATTATTATCATTATTACAGACACTATCACAGACAGATGCAGAAAAACTAATCCATGCATTTGTTACTTCTAGGCTGGATTACTGCAACTCTTTATTATCAGGTTGCCCCAATAAGTCCATTAAAACACTCCAATTAATTCAGAACGCTGCAGCACGAGTACTGACAGGAACTAGAAAAAGAGATCACATCTCTCCTGTACTAGCTTCTCTGCATTGGCTCCCTGTAAAATGTAGAATAGAATTTAAAATCCTCCTCCTCACCTGTAAAGCTCTTCATGGTCAGGCCCCTTCATATCTTAAAGAGCTCATAGTACCCTATTACCCCACTAGAACACTACGTTCTCTGAATGCTGGGCTACTTGTGGTTCCTATAGTCTCTAAAAGTAGAACAGGAGCCAGAGCCTTCAGTTACCAAGCTCCTCTCCTGTGGAACCAGCTTCCATTTGTGGTTCGGGAAGCAGACACCCTCACCACATTCAAGAGTAGGCTTAAGACATTCCTCTTTGATAAAGCTTATAGTTAGGGCTGGATCAGGTGAGTCCTGAACCATCCCTTAGTTATGCTGCTATAGGCCTAGACTATCGGGGGATTTCCCATGGTGCACTGAGCTCCTCTCTTACTCTCTCTCTCTCTCTTTCTGCACTCATTCATGTCCCATTAATGCATGTTACTAACGTCACTTCTTCCCTGGAGTTCTTGTGCTTTCTCGTCTCGCAGGTTCTCATGGATCCTGGTGGAGCCTCCTGCCATGGTCCTGCTTGACTACCATTGCTATTATCACTGATATTACTGTTATTATTATTATTATTATTTTTAATATTATTAATATTATTATTACTACAGTTACTATTATTATTATTGTCACTGCTCATTGTCCCCCATCGTTGCTGTTGTTGTCGCCATCATCATCTTCTTCATGTTCATCATCATCAGTCACTAATATTAGTGTAGTTGTTGCTAATGTTGTTGCTGTGCACCTGTCTGTCTGTCTGTCTCTCTCTCTCTCTCTCTCTCCCACCCACCTAGAGTCAGTGTCTGTCTGAGGTTTCTGCCTTTTAAAAGGCAGTTTTTCCTTGCTGCTGTCTCCAAGTGCTTGCTCACAGTGGGAACTGTTGGGTCTCTGTAAATATTGTTGTAAGTAGTTCCGTCTAGACCTGCTCTATTTGAAAAGTTTCCTGAGATAACTTCTGTTATGAATTGGTGCCATACAAATTGATTTGTATATTATTATTATTGATACCAGTGTATATGACTAGTTGTTCTGACACATTCACAATCATTACAGCTGTTTCTGGCCGCTGTTCACAAACCATAAAACCTCTAATAAAAGCAGTCACAAATGGCTGTAGGTCTCCTTTAGAGTCCAGGTCTGGATTTTATAGAAATTCTCTTAAAGTTGCTTTAATTACCTACACAAACATAAATGTTATATAATAATATGCAATACAGACACAACATTACATCACCTAGATTCTCCACAATTCAATCCTTCAGTTCATTTTACAGAAACTATGAGCACCAAAGTATAATTCATTCAGATTTACCTGCACCCCATACCTTTGAACCCTCTTGGATTTTAAGGGCTTTTTGTTTTTGGCCCAAAAAGTCTGATTTCATCGCCACCTTTTAGAAAATTGTGATGCATGTTGTGATGTTTTTAAGCAATTTTTTGCAATAAAATTGAAGCAGAAAGTGAAAGAATTCATTAAAAACTGACAAATCGACTGTTTGGAGGGTCTACATCTTCAACACTAGAAACCAGAAAGTGAGTTTAGTGATGTATGACTCAACAGTTAGTGCAGGAAACTTTGTGGAAAGGATGTGGTGACTGGACAAAATTGCAAGAATTCACAGGTTGAATTTGCGTTCATTGTTGTCATTTACAGTCAGTGTGCTACTTTTGATGTGCATTTTTCATCTTAATCATTGTGGAATATGTGTAAACTTTGGCTGCTATTGGTGTATGATTTGTTCATGAGGGTGACTCATCACTAATTCATTTTATCGCCACTGAACAGTGACAGTCCAGTCTTATTAACTTGTAACCTGTAACCTGCAGCGAAAATAGAAAAAGCCATAGTACAGTTCACACACAGTCTGTGTCCACCCCTCAATTATTTATATTCCTTTAGTACGTAAGAATTAAAGGCTTTCATTAAAATGAATGTCTGTCTGTATGCTGGCAGCCGGAAACATTCGACTGCTGTAAAACTACATTCACAAGGTACAAACGGAAATTTAAGCTGTTAATTGTCCAATTGTGAATTAAAGGCCTGTCCCTAATAGACGCCTGTCCCAAATGGTTCTTGGTGTGTTTGATTTAAACCCTTAAAACTAAACTAAACCTGGCCACCTTAAGAGCCAGGAGAGAAGAAGAAGAAGAAGAAGAAGAAGATATATACTTTATTGATCCCCTATTGGGGAAATTCTTCTTTTCACTCTTTTTTTTTTAATTCTTACACACACACAGGCTGAAATACACACTTCATGCACTTGTGAACATGCAACAGGGAGAGAGATGGTGGAGTGATGGGCTTGCCATGTTAGTGGCGCCCATGAGCAGTTTCTTGGGCTTAGGTTGCCTTGCTCAAGGGCACCTCGGCAGTGTACAAGAGGTGAAACTGGCACCTCTCCAGCTACCAGTCCACACTCCATATTGTGGTCTGTGGGATTTGAACTGACGACCCTCCGGTTCCCAAGCCAAGTCTCTACACACTGAGACGTGGCTGCCCCCCCTAATAGAATAATAAAGACTACAAGGTGAACTGGGGGGTTCTTCTACAGAAGGTCATCACTTCCTGTTGGCAGCAACCAAAGAACCGGCTGGTGGTCTCCAGTGGCACTGAACTGAAGGAGTCCTTATGATGTCTCTGGCCCCTTTTCCACCAAATTAGTTCTGGTTCTTGAATCAGAGCCAGCCTTCCACGAAGTTGTGATCGCAATTATTAACATTTAAGCAATCACTATAGTTTCCTATGAGTTTCACCAACCATAGCAGTCCTAAAACATTGAACCAAACTCACTCCTTGTTTCCTGTTGTGAAGTCCGAACTTTTATTCTCCCTGGAAAAAGATCTGTTTTAGAAGAAGAAGACTGAAACTAGAGACTGCACGCACGCACGCACGCACGCACGCACACACGCACAATCACACAGACACAGACACACACAGACACACAGACACACACAGACACACAGACACACAGACACACACACAGACAGACAGACAGACAGACACACAGAAACACAGACACACAGACACACACACAGACGGACAGACAGACACACAGACACACACACACTGAATTAATTAATTAGACCCATTAAGTGACGAATAGCTGCACTGTAATGGAGCGAGAAAGCGAAAGACCTAGTCAACGTAGAGGGAGAGAGAGGAAGAATATACTGTGGTGCATTCAGGTGTTGTTGGGAAACTTCAGTGGTCTCATGAATCTGAACCTCCAACCAAACTGTGTTCAGCTTTCAGAAGATTGAAAGACTCAGAACAACAAACAGATCCACATGTGTTTAGTGTGTGTGGCCTCCTCTTCCTCCTCCTCCTTTATCTCCTCCTATTCCGCTTCCTCCTCCTCTTCATTTATCTCCTCCTCTTCCTCCTCCTTTATCTCCTCCTCCTCTTCCGCGTCCTCCTCCTTAATCTCTTCCTCCTCCTCTTCCTCATCTTCCTCTTTTATCTCCTCCACTTCCTCCTCCTCCTCCTCCTCCTCCTTTATCTCCTCCCCTTCCACTTCCTCCTCTTCCTCATCTTCCTCTTTTATCTCCCCCCCTACTCCTGCTCCTCCTTTATCTCCTCCTCTTCCTCCTCTTTCTCTTTTATCTCCTCCTCTTCCTCCTCCTCCTCCTCTATCTCCTCCTCTTCCTCAGCTCTGACACTGAACACACAGAGAGCTGATTTAAGGTGGACTGACCGCTGTTTGATTTTAAGGAGGATATGTATAGAAAGTGTTGATTGAACTGATCAGACTGATTGATCAGACTGATTGATCAGATTAATCATCAAAAATGTCACTTCCTCCTCTGAAGTATTTTTATTTACAAATTTATTTTTTGAGGTTTAATTTTTTTCTTTATATATAAAGAAAATAGAATATAACTAATAAAGGAAGTAGAATATAATCAATAAAGGAAGTAAAATATAACCAATAAAGGAAGTAGAATATAACCAATAAAGGAAGTAGAATATAACCAATAAAGGAAGTAGAATAGAATCAATAAAGGAAGTAAAATATAACCAATAAAGGAAGTAAAATATAACCAATGAAGGAAGTAGAATATAATCAATAAAGGAAGTAGAATATAATCAATAAAGGAAGTAGAATATAACCAATAAAGGAAGTAGAATAGAATCAATAAAGGAAGTAGAATAGAATCAATAAAGGAAGTAAAATATAACCAATAAAGGAAGTAGAATAGAATCAATAAAGGAAGTAGAATAGAATCAATAAAGGAAGTAGAATATAACCAATAAAGGAAGTAGAATAGAATCAATAAAGGAAATAGAATAGAATCAATAAAGGAAGTAAAATATAACCAATAAAGGAAGTAGAATATAACCAATAAAGGAAGAAGAATATAACCAATAAAGGAAGTAAAATATAACCAATAAAGGAAGTAGAATATAACCAATAAAGGAAGTAAAATATAACCAATAAAGGAAGTAGAATATAACCAATAAAGGAAGTAAAAAATAACCAATAAAGGAAGTAGAATAGAACCAATAAAGGAAGTAGAATAGAACCAATAAAGGAAGTAGAATAGAATCAATAAAGGAAGAAGAATAGAATCAATAAAGGAAGTAAAAAATAACCAATAAAGGAAGTAGAATATAACCAATAAAGGAAGTAGAATATGATCAATAAAGGAAGTAGAATAGAATCAATAAAGGAAGTAGAATATAACCAATAAAGGAAGTAGAATATAACCAATAAAGAAGGAATATAACCAAAAAAGGAAGTAGAATATAACCAATAAAGGAAGTAGAATAGAATCAATAAAGGAAGTAAAATATAACCAATAAAGGAAGTAGAATATAATCAATAAAGGAAGTAAAATATAACCAATAAAGGAAGTAGAACCAATAAAGGAAGTAGAATATAACCAATAAAGGAAGTAGGCAATAAAGGAAGTAAAATATAACCAATAAAGGAAGTAGTCAATAAAGAAAGTAAAATATAACCAATAAAGGAAGTAGAATATAATCAATAAAGGAAGTAAAATATAACCAATAAAGGAAGTAGAATATAATCAATAAAGGAAGTAGAATATAATCAATAAAGGAAGTAAAATATAACCAATAAAGGAAGTAGAATATAATCAATAAAGAGAAACCATATAAATCCATAAATAAATAAATTGTAAAGACAGAAATGTTTTTATAATTTTGATGATTGATTATGATTAAATTTGAATGTATTGATTATTTGTAATATATCAGCTAAAGCTCTGCTCACACATCAATGTATCAATAATAATAATAATAATTAAAAAACCCATTTTTATAGACTTTATGTGATGTGGTCCTTTTATGTTCATTTTTACTCCAACCGTCTTTGAGTTCTGTTCTACTTATTTTATTTATTTTATTTATTCCATTTCTCTTATTTCGCCTACTTTATATTATTCCATCTCTATTATTTCACCTACTTTATTCATTTGTATCATTACCTCTGTTATTTCAACTATTTCATGTAATTTATTTTATCGTCCTTTGTAATTGTAAATTGTATTCTTGCTGTGTTCTGTCAAAGCACTTTGTAAACCATGTTTTTAAAAGTGCTATACAAATAAAGTTATTATTATTATAATTATTGATCAGCATTGAAGTGGCAGATATCCTCCAATAGAAGAGTGTGTTGTTTTATATCAAAGTGAATATGAATCATGGATTATTCGATCAAATAATTAAAGGATTAATTCATAATTTAATAATTTATTGGGGAATAATTATTAATAAATAGAACAGAAATAAAAACCTGATTTTGATTTTAATGATTATCGATTACTATCTGATCAACTTTTTGCCAATCTACTAATTGATTAATCGACTGATCAATCAGCTTCCTCCACTTCCTGTTTTATGATCTTCTGCTTTCTTTGCTTCATTTATTATACATCATATAAATAATTAATAACTAATAATTGTTTTTATTGCTGATGAATATCTGATACACAGTAAACATACCTCACAGCTGTATTAATATAATATTAATATTCATACTTATATAAATATAATATCAATATACCATTAATATTATTATATTAATGGTATATTTATATTGATATAACATTAATGTTAATATCATTATATAAATATAATATCGATATAACACTAATATTAATATCATTATGTAAATATAATATCAATATAACATTAATATTATTATATTAATGTTATATTTATATAACATTAATATTAATATTATTATATAAATATAATATCAATAGAACATTAATATTAATATTATTATATATATATTTATACATATTTCTGGGTCTGGGTCCCGGTCTGGGTTAGGATCAGGGGTCAGAGTCAGGGTTAGGGTCCCGTTCTCACCCTCGTCCAGCAGTCTCTCCAGGTGCTGGAAGATCCCGCAGAAGTTCGGCAGACCCCCCATCAGCTTCTTGTCGTTCATGAGCTGCATCAGATAATCCGGACCGGGTCTCGGCCTCTCCTTGCCCTCCATCTCCCCGACCATGGTCTACAGAGAATCCGGATCACAGCGGACCTCCTGTGTGTGTGCAGAGCATGAAGATAAATCCAGATCCGGACCCGGTCCCGGAGCTCTTTGATTTTAATCCCACAAGTGTCTGAAGTCTTGTCCTGATCCGGATCAGAGTCCGGCTCTGTCCTCCAGAGCTCCCCAGGCTCAGCGGCTCTCTGTCGGCCAGCAGCGGCTCCGTCCGACTGTCCGCTCCTCCACACAGCCCAGCACTGACTGAGGGACCGGAGGACCGTCAATTTCAAAACCGGGAGACAAACCGCTTCCGCCACAGCCTTCACAATAAAAGCATGTAACGCTGAGCGAGTTCAATACATCTGATCAGAAATATATCGATTAGGTCCTTGACTACAGAGTAAAATCAAAGTCAAATCACATATTTCTATTAACAATCCCCCCAAATAAATAAACATTAAAGATAAATAAATATGTGTGTAACTCAGTCAGATTGTTAATGTGTATATAAATCTGTAAATGTGTATATAAATCTATTAATGTGTATATAAATCTGTAAATGTGTATATAAATCTGTTTATATACACTGCTGCAGAGACAGCTCTGGTTAAAGTTAATAATGACCTTCTGATTGCTTCTGACAATGGACTTGTCTCTGTAGTTGTATTATTAGATCTTAGTGCTGCATTTGACACCATTGACCATGATATTCTTTTACAGAGACTTGAGCATCAAATTGGCATTAAAGGAACCGCACTAAGCTGGTTTAAGTCATATTTATCAGATCGCTCGCAGTTTGTACATGTTAACGATGAATCTTCAATAAATACTACAGTTAGTCATGGAGTTCCACAAGGTTCTGTACTTGGACCAATACTATTTACTTTATATATGCTCCCTTTAGGCAACATTATTAGGAATCACTCCATTAACTTTCACTGTTATGCAGATGATACGCAGTTATATCTATCGATCAAGCCCGATGAAATTAATCAATTATCTAAATTACAAACATGTCTTAAGGACATAAAATCCTGGATGAGCTGCAATTTTCTGATGTTAAACTCAGAAAAAAACGAAATTCTTGTTCTTGGCCCCAAAAACCTTAGAGACTCACTGTCTAAAGATATAGTTACTCTAGACGGCATTACCTTGGCCTCTAGCACCACTGTCAGGAATCTTGGAGTTATCTTTGATCAGGATTTGTCATTTAACTCCCACATAAAGCAGACCTCTAGGACTGCCTTCTTTCATTTACGTAATATTAGAAAAATTAGACACATACTATCACAGACAGATGCAGAAAAACTAATCCATGCATTTGTTACTTCAAGGCTGGATTACTGCAACTCTTTATTATCAGGTTGCCCCAATAAGTCCATTAAAACGCTCCAATTAATTCAGAACGCTGCAGCATGAGTACTGACAGGAACTAGAAAAAGAGATCACATCTCTCCTGTACTAGCTTCTCTGCATTGGCTCCCTGTAAAATGTAGAATAGAATTTAAAATCCTCCTCCTCACCTATAAAGCTCTTCATGGTCAGGCCCCTTCATATCTTAAAGAGCTCATAGAACCCTATTACCCCACTAGAACACTACGTTCTCTGAATGCTGGGCTACTTGTGGTTCCTATAGTCTCTAAAAGTAGAACAGGAGCCAGAGCCTTCAGTTCAGGTGAGTCCTGAACCATCCCTTAGTTATGCTGCTATAGGCCTAGACTATCGGGGGATTTCCCATGGTGCACTGAGCTCCTCCCTTCCTCTCTCTTTCTGCACTCATTCATGTTCCATTAATGCATGTTACTAACTTCACTTCTTCCCCGGAGTTCTTGTGCTTTCTCGTCTCGCAGGTTCTTATCGATCCTGGTGGAGCCTCCTGCCATGGTCCTGCTAGATTGCCATTGCCAATACTGTTGTTGCTGTGCACCTGTCTGTCTGTCTCTCGCTCTCTCTCTCTCTCTCACCCCAACTGGTCGAGACAGACGACCACCCACCTAGAGCCGAAGGATCTGTCCTAGGTTTCTGCCTTTTAACAGGCAGTTTTTCCTTGCCCTTGTCTCCAAGTGCTTGCTCATGGTGGTACTGTTGGGTCTCTGTAAATAATGTTATAAGGAGTTCGGTCTAGACCTGCTCTATTTGAAAAGTGTCCTGAGATAACTTCTGTTAGGAATTCGCGCTATACAAATAAAATTTAATTTAATTGAATTGATGTGTATGTAAATCTGTAAATGTGTATATAGATCTGTAAATGTGTCATTGTGAGTCTGTCGCTTTAAATTCTTTAATTGGCTTAATGGAGCCTTTTCATATGGCCTGGGAGCCACAGAGGAGAAGAAAAGGCCTGAAAGAGAGAGGAAAGAGAGAGGGGTGAGGAGGGTGAGGAGGGTGAGGAGGAGAGGAAGCATAAATCTTGTGTGTGTGTGTGTGTGTGTGTGTTGTCAATTTGGCTGCAGACTCGTCTCTCTGAACACAAACTGATCTCACTGAAGAATGTCACTCTGACGCTTTAACGCCCAGAGATCTGTCAGGCTCTGTACCTGTGAGTCCAGACAGAGGGCTGATTCTCCCCACTCAATGTCTTTAACCCTTTCAGATCACATCCTCAGTCTCATTCTTACTCTATCTATTTAACAACGTACACACACACACACACACAAACTGCTCACTGTGTGTGTGTGTGTGTGTGTGGGTGAGTGAGCGATGGAGGAGTTATTGTGTCGTTCTGCTGATTAAAACAGTTTCTCCTCTAAACAAAGTCCACATTGTGTGAGTCCTGGTTGTTTTCTGGGTCCAGTGCTCTGTTTGGACTGTCAGGTTCTGAATATACAATCAGTATTTACTGTTTATTATCTTAATATTAGTATGATGACGAGTACAACGCTAACATCAATATCTCAATATCACAGGTTCAATTCTTATCTCTGCCCCAACTCCTTCTCCAGATCTGTGTGTGTGTGTGTGTGTGTGTGTGTGATCAGCTGACTGTATTGATGATTGTTCTCCATCAGACAAAAGAACAAAAGAAACAAACGTTCTTCTGTTTGCAGAACAGAGTAATCCTCCTGTTTCCATAAAATATCATCTGTGAGCTTCTTTCACTCTTTCACTCATTCACTGTTTTACTCATTCAATTCAATTCAATTCAATTCAATTCAATTTTATTTGTATAGCGCCAATTCATAACAGAAGTTATCTCAGGACACTTTTCAAATAGAGCAGGTCTAGACCGAACTCTTTAACATTAATTACAGAGACCCAACAGTACCACCATGAGCAAGCACTTGGCGACAAGGGCAAGGAAAAACTGCCTGTTAAAAGGCAGAAACCTAGGACAGATCCTCCGGCTCTAGGTGGGTGGTCGTCTGTCTCGACCAGTTGGGGTGAGAGAGAGAGAGAGAGAGAGAGAGAGAGAGGCAGAGAGAGAGAGAGCGAGAGACAGACAGACAGACAGACAGACAGGTGCACAGCAACAACAGTATTGGCAATGGCAGTCAAGCAGGACCATGGCAGGAGGCTCCACCAGGATCCATGAGAACCTGCGAGACGAGAAAGCACAAGAACTCCGGGGAAGAAGTGGAGTTAGTAACATGCATTAATGGGACATGAATGAGTGCAGAAAGAGAGAGGAAGAGAGTAGCTCAGTGCACCATGGGAAATCCCCCGATAGTCTAGGCCTATAGCAGCATAACTAAGGGATGGTTCAGGACTCACCTGATCCAGCCCTAACTATAAGCTTTATCAAAGAGGAATGTCTTAAGCCTACTCTTGAATGTGGTGTTTCACTGTTTCACTGTTTTACTCATTCACTCTTTCACTGTTTCACTGTTTTACTCATTCACTCTTTCACTGTTTCACTGTTTTACTCATTCACTCTTTCACTGTTTTACTCATTCACTCTTTCACTGTTTCACTGTTTCACTCTTACACTGTTTTACTCATTCACTCTTTCACTGTTTTACTCATTCACTCTTTCACTGTTTTACTCATTCACTCTTTCACTCTTTCACTGTTTTACTCATTCACTGTTTCACTGTTTTACTCTTTCACTGTTTTACTCATTCACTGTTTCACTGTTTCACTGTTTTATTCATTCACTCTTCTACAGAGTACTGCAGAGTACTACAGAATACTGGAGAGTACTGCAGAGTACTACAGAATACTGGAGAGTACTGCAGAGTACTACAGAGTACTGCAGAGTACTACAATTCAATTCAATTCAATTCAATTCAATTCAATTTTATTTGTATAGCGCGAATTCATAACAGAAGTTATCTCAGGACACTTTTCAAATAGAGCAGGTCTAGACCGAACTCCTTATAACATTATTTACAGAGACCCAACAGTACCACCACGAGCAAGCACTTGGCGACAAGGGCAAGGAAAAACTTCCTGTTAAGAGGCAGAAACCTAGGACAGATCCTTCGGCTCTAGGTGGGTGGTCGTCTGTCTCGACCAGTTGGGGTGAGAGAGAGAGAGAGAGAGAGAGAGAGAGAGAGAGCGAGCGAGAGACAGACAGGTGCACAGCAACAACAGTATTGGCAATGGCAATCTAGCAGGACCATGGCAGGAGGCTCCACCAGGATCGATAAGAACCTGCGAGACGAGAAAGCACAAGAACTCCGGGGAAGAAGTGAAGTTAGTAACATGCATTAATGGGACATGAATGAGTGCAGAAAGAGAGAGAGAGAGAGTAAGAGAGGAGCTCAGTGCACCATGGGAAATCCCCCGATAGTCTAGGCCTATAGCAGCATAACTAAGGGATGGTTCAGGACTCACCTGATCCAGCCCTAACTATAAGCTTTATCAAAGAGGAATGTCTTAAGCCTACTCTTGAATGTGGAGAGGGTGTCTGCCTCCCGAACCACAACTGGAAGCTGGTTCCACAGGAGAGGAGCTTGGTAACTGAAGGCTCTGGCTCCTGTTCTACTTTTAGAGACTATAGGAACCACAAGTAGCCCAGCATTCAGAGAACGTAGTGTTCTAGTGGGGTAATAGGGTACTATGAGCTCTTTAAGATATGAAGGGGCCTGACCATGAAGAGCTTTATAGGTGAGGAGGAGGATTTTAAATTCTATTCTACATTTTACAGGGAGCCAATGCAGAGAAGCTAGTACAGGAGAGATGTGATCTCTTTTTCTAGTTCCTGTCAGTACTCGTGCTGCAGCATTCTGAATTAATTGGAGCGTTTTAATGGACTTATTGGGGCAACCTGATAATAAAGAGTTGCAGTAATCCAGCCTTGAAGTAACAAATGCATGGATTAGTTTTTCTGCATCTGTCTGTGATAGGATGTGTCTAATTTTTCTAATATTACGTAAATGAAAGAAGGCAGTCCTGGAGGTCTGCTTTATGTGGGAGTTAAATGACAAATCCTGATCAAAGATAACTCCAAGATTCCTGACAGTGGTGCTAGAGGCCAAGGTGATGGCGTCTAGAGTAACTATATCTTTAGACAGTGAGTCTCTAAGGTTTTTGGGGCCAAGAACAAGAATTTCGTTTTTTTCTGAGTTTAACATCAGAAAATTGCAGCTCATCCAGGATTTTATGTCCTTAAGACATGTTTGTAATTTAGATAATTGATTAATTTCATCGGGCTTGATCGATAGATATAACTGCGTATCATCTGCATAACAGTGAAAGTTAATGGAGTGATTCCTAATAATGTTGCCTAAAGGGAGCATATATAAAGTAAATAGTATTGGTCCAAGTACAGAACCTGCCAATTTGATGCTCAAGTCTCTGTAAAAGAATATCATGGTCAATGGTGTCAAATGCAGTACTAAGATCTAATAATACAAGTATAGAGACAAGTCCATTGTCTGAAGCAATCAGAAGGTCATTATTAACTTTAACCAGAGCTGTCTCTGTGCTATGATGAACTGACTGACTGAAAATCCTCAAATAAACTATTGTTATGTAGAAAGTCACACAACTCTTTGGCGACTACTTTCTCCAGAATCTTAGAGAGGAAGGGGAGGTTAGAGATCGGTCTATAGTTGGCTAAAACCCCTGGGTCAAGAGTGGACTTTTTAAGAAGAGGTTTAATTACAGCTACTTCAAAGGACTATGGTACATATCCTGATAATAAAGAAAGATGAATCATATCCAGTAAAGAAGTGCCAATTAAGGGAACAACTTCTTTAAGCAGCCTAGTTGGGATCGGGTCCAATAGACAGGTTGATGGCTTCGATGAAGAAATTATTGAAGTTAACTGATGAAGATCGATAGCAGAAAAACAGTCTAAATATATATCTGAGTTTACATTGGCAGAAGTCCCTGAACTTGGAGAGCCACTGATAACTGTTGATGGCAGTTGGTGATTAATTTTCTCTCTAATAGTAATAATTTTATTATAGAAGAAGCTCATGAAGTCATTGCTACTTAAGTTTATGGGGATATGTGGCTCAATAGAGCTGTGACTCTCTGTCAGCCTGGCTACAGTGCTGAAGAGGAACCTAGGGTTATTCTTATTTTCTTCTATTAGTGCTGAGTAATAGGCTCCTCTGGCATTACGGAGGGCCTTTATATAAATTTTAAGGTTATCTTGCCAAATTGAGCGATATTCTGATAATTTGGAAGAGCGCCATTTCCTTTCAGATTTCCTAGCTATTTGCTTTAACTGGCGGGTTTGGTGGTTGTACCAAGGTGCTAGTCTCCTATGTTTTACTAATTTCCTTTTTATAGGAGTGATAGAGTCTAATGTTGATCGTAGTGAGCCTGCAGCACTATCGACAAGATTATCAATTTCAGAGGGACTAAAGTTGTTATAGGACTCTGTTAAATTCAGACATGGCATTGAATTAAACACTGAAGGAATCTCCTCCTTAAATTTAGCTACAGCACTGTCAGATAGACATCTGCTGTAGGAAGTTTTGCCTAATGGCTTATAATCTAATAGTATGAATTCAAAAGCTATTAAATAATGGTCAGATAGGAAAGGATTATGTGGGAAGACTATTAAATGTTCAATATCAATGCCATATGATAGAACAAGGTCAAGAGTGTGATTAAAACCATGAGTTGGTTTATTTACACTCTGACAGAAGCCAATTGAGTCTATTAATGATATAAATGTGTTACTAAGACTGTCATTGTTAACATCCACATGAATATTAAAATCACCTACAATAATTACTTTATCTGATTTAAGGACTAAACTTGATAAAAACTCTGAGAATTCAGATATAAAATCAGAGTACGGTCCAGGAGCGCGGTACACTATAACAAATAGAACTGGCTGCAGTGTTTTCCAGTTTGGGTGAGAAAGACTAAGAACAAGGCTTTCAAATGAATTATAATTTAGTTTAGGTTTAGGGTCCATTAAAATGCTCGAATCATATATGGCTGCTACTCCACCTCCTTGGCCAGTGCCTCGAGGAATGTGAGTATTAATATGACTGGGGGGGTGGATTCATTTAGGCTAACATACTCCTCGTGGGACAACCAGGTCTCAGTAAGACAAAGTAAATCAATATCATAATCTGATATTAATTCATTCACTAAAACAGCTTTAGAGGACAGAGACCTGATATTTAACAGCCCACATTTTATTCTCTTATTTTGTGCTACTGAGGAGTTGGTTTTAATTTTTATTAGGTTTTTATGTTTAACTCCTCTTGTTTTTATTTCTTTAAATAATTTAGGTGGTCGGGGGACAGACACAGTCTCTATGGGGTTTTGGGTGGGTGACTGTTCTAAAGAAAGAGCAGAGAAGTGTGTAAGACAGCAGCTCTGCTTCCTGGCCCCAGGGATACATTTAACTATAATGAAGATGATAATACTTGTGTACTTTCACTGAGGAAGGATGTAAATACAGTACTCTGAGTACTGTAAGACTGTAGTATTTGTATTTTTCCTTCAGTACAGGCTCAGAGTACTCCCTCCTCGTGTGTGATGGATGGAGGAGGTCCTGGGAAAGGTGCTGGCTGGTCTCGGTCCAGGTCTTGGACTGAGCCAGATTAATAAACCACAAATCAACCAGGAAGAGGATGCTTTTATTGTGAAGGAGATTTAATTAAAGAGATAGTTCACCTAAAAATCATTAAAGAGGAGCAGCCCCTCAAACAGCTGATACCGGATCAGTTTTCATTTAAAACATCAACAGTGAGACCTTTTACCTCCTCCTGCTTCTCCTCTTCCTCTCACCTCCTCTCTCCTCCTCTTCCTCTCTTCTAAACTTTCTCTCACAGTTTCTCCTTCAGTCTTTGGGGAGATCTGGATCTGATGATTGGGTTCAGTCCAGACCTCCATGTTGTCTGAAAGGAGAGGTCTGATCCCTCCTCCTCCTCCTCCTCCTCCCTCCCTCCTCCCCCAGCCTGGTGTCTTTGTCTCTGTCCTTGGCAGTCTCAGCGAGTCCTCACAGCGTCTTTCACACAGAAAGAATAGCAGATTGTCTTCATTAAGGAGGACGCCTTGTTTCAGGAAGTCCAGGCCGGGAGGACTGGGGAGGAGGGGGTAGGATGGGGGAGACAGAGAGAGAAGGAGGTGAAGCAGAATGTCAAGGAGAATGTCTTTGTGTCGGGTGTTTTCCACTCCGCAACAGTTGATTCATATTCAAATGGAGTTCTGAATGGACGGTTCACACACACATACACATTCCTGAGGAGGTGTGAAGCTGTGAGAGGAGGAAGAGGAGGAAGAGGAGGAAACAAACTGACGTTCATTGTTACATGTATTATTGTTTATTGATGATCATTTACAGAACCAACAGGAAGAAAAATACACAACACATCTGTAACACATGAAAATACAAAATCAACAAAAACATGACTGTCCCGACTTAGAGGAGCTGAGGACACACGAAATACATTTAGAGTCTCTCTGTGGCTGTTTAGTTTCTTTGTGGTTGTTTTGTGTCTTTGTGGTTGTTTAGTCTCTTTGTGGTTGTTTTGTGTCTTTGTGGTTGTTTTGTCTCTTTGTGGTTGTTTTGTGTCTTTGTGGTTGTTTTGTCTTTTTGTGGTTGTTTTATGTCTTTGTGGTTGTTTTGTCTCTTTGTGGTTGTTTTATGTCTTTGTGGTTGTTTAGTGTCTGTCATTATGTCTGGATCATTATAGTGTCTTTGTGGTTGTTTAGTGTCTTTGTGGTTGTTTAGTCTCTTTGTGGTTGTTTAGTCTCTTTGTGGTTGTTTTGTGTCTTTGCGGTTGTTTTGTGTCTCTTTGTGGTTGTTTTGTGTCTTTGTGGTTGTTTAGTCTCTGTGGTTGTTTAGTCTCTTTGTGGTTGTTTTGTCTCTGTGGTTGTTTAGTGTCTTTGTGGTTGTTTTGTGTCTTACGGTTGTTTAGTGTCTTTGTCATTATGTCTGGATCATTATAGTGTCTGTGGTTGTTTAGTCTCTTTGTGGTTGTTTAGTGTCTTTGTCATTATGTCTGGATCATTATAGCGTCTTTGTGGTTGTTTTGTGTCTTTGTGGTTGTTTTGTCTCTTTGTGTCTGTTTTGTATCTCTTTGTGGTTGTTTTGTGTCTCTTTGTGGTTGTTTTGTGTCTATGTGGTTGTTTTGTGTCTATGTGGTTGTTTTGTGTCTCTTTGTGGTTGTTTAGTGTCTTTGAGATTGTTTTGTGTCTCTTTGTGGTTGTTTTGTGTCTCTTTGTGGTTGTTTTGTGTCTTTGAGGTTGTTTTGTCTCTATGTCTGGGTCATTATAGCTACGCACAGCTTCCCAACAGGTCTCTATAGCAACAAAGTCAGAGATATGTGAACCAGACCTGACCTGAAACTGAACAGAGAACTTAAACTGCTCATTGGTCCAGAAGCTCCAGACTGCTGTGTTCTCATTGGACAACTGGATATTTTTTTCTGTGAGGTAGGAGGAGTTGTCTGTCTGTCGTCAGAGGAATCGGGGGTCTCGATTGGCTCTCCTGGAGCGAAAGCGGATCTCAGACAATTTGGAGTTGATGCCAGAGCCAATGACTCCTTTCTTGGCCAGAGGAAACCGAGCCAAGATGGCATCTGAGAAACAGAGAGAGGAAGACTGAGAGAGGAAGACTGTGAGAGGAAGACAGAGAGAGGAAGACTGTGACAGGGAGACTGAGAGAGGAAGACAGAGAGGAAGACTGTGACAAGAAGACTGAGAGAGGAAGACTGTGAGAGGAAGACTGAGAGAGGAATACTGTGAGAGGAAGACTGAGAGAGGAATACTGTGAGAGGAAGACTGAGAGAGGAAGACTGAGAGAGGAAGACTGTGAGAGAAAGACTGTGAGAGGAAGACTGAGAGAGGAAGACTGAGAGAGGAAGACTGAGAGAGGAAGATGTCAGTCTTTGAACCTACTGAAGATGGCGCTGATCTTGTGCGGGTCGAGCGCGCTGCGTTGTGGTTGAAAGGCGGGTCGGCGGCTCCGTCCGCCTCGCAGGTTGCTGTTCATCAGTGTGTTCATATCAAACACGCCCATCAGCAGCGTCCGTGCCATCGCCGTGGGGGACTGCGCCTGATTGGCTGCCTGCCATGAGCGGACTTCACAGAGAACCCCAGAGCCCGGATACACCTCCACCTGGCTCACCTGGACAGATTAACAGAATCCAGATCAGATTAAACCAGTTCCAGTGTGAACTGGATCAGATTAAACCAGTTCCAGTGTGAACTGGATCAGAGTTCTCACATGTCCGTTAGGGGGTCCGGCGGCACACTGGCTCTCAGAGCAGCTCCTCCTCAGCTCCTCCATGTCGGTCTGTCTGCAGAGCGGTGCCTCCTCTCCCATGTGGCTCCCCAGGCCCAGGTCTACTCCTCCTGGCCCCTCCTCGTCCTCAGAGCCCAACGGGCCCCAGGACTCCAGTATGTCCCCGTTCAGGTCCTCCTGCAGCTGCTGGAGGCTCACCTGGGGGCTGAGGTCTGCGTCCTGACTGGTTGAGAGCTGCTGCGAGTACGGAGCGTAACTGTCGCTCCTGCCCGTTGCCGTGGAGACGCAGTGGTGACTGTTGGCCTGGCCCAACGTCTGCCACATGGTGGACAGAAGCCCCGGGAGTTCTGGGAAATGTAGTGACATGACATAAAAAATTAAACCAGATCAATTCAATTTGAATCCAGATCAGATCAGTGTGAATTCTCCAATCTGCAATCAATAAAGTGATCTCTGATCAGTCTGTGATCGGTCTGTGATCAGTCTCTGATCAGAGGTGGACCAGGGGGAAGTGATGTGGATCTTGACTCACCGTGGACCAGCATGTTCTTCAGTCTCTGGTTCTCTGCTGACAGCTCAGCCCGCTCTCTCTCCAGCTCTCGAACCCTCGCACGCAGGAAGTGAAGCTCAGAGGTCTCTGAAGGGATTAGAACCGGCACACCGGACTCCACCTTCACCACCTGGAGGGGGGCAACAATAAATCTCAGACCTCAGCTGTTGCCATGGTGATCTCTCAGTTGGGTGCCCTGAAGCTCATTGTGTAATGTAGTTCAATGTATTACTAATGTAATACTAATGCAGTACAATGTAATACTAATGCAGTACAATGTAATACTAATGTAGTACTAATGTAGTACAATGTAATACTAATGCAGTACAATGTAGTACTAATGTATTACAATGTAATACCAATGTATTACAATGTCTGTTATGAATTGGCGCTATACAAATAAAATTGAATTGAATTGAATAGTACTAATGTAGTACAATGTAATACTAATGTTATACTAATGCAGTACAATGTAATACTAATGTAATACTAATGTAGTACTAATGTAATACTAATGCAGTACAATGTAATACTAATGTAATACTAATGTAGTACAATGTAATACTAATGTAATACTAATGTAGTACTAATGTAATACTAATGCAGTACAATGTAATACTAATGCAGTACAATGTAATACTAATGCAGTACAATGTTATACTAATGTAATACTAATGCAGTACAATGTAATACTAATGTAATACTAATGCAGTACAATGTAATACTAATGTAATACTAATGTAGTACAATGTAGTACAATGTAATACTAATGCAGTACAATGTAATACTAATGCAGTACAATGTAATACTAATGCAGTACAATGTAATACTAATGTAATACTAATGTAGTACAATGTAATACTAATGCAGTACAATGTAATACTAATGTAGTACAATGTAATACTAATGCAGTACAATGTAGCAGTACAATGTAATACTTATGCATTTTCAGTATTTAAAGTATTTATAGTATTTACATTATTTGTAGTATTTATAGTATTTATAGTATTTACAGTATTTATAGTATTTATAGTATTTACATTATTTGTAGTATTTATAGTATTTATAGTATTTACAGTATTTATAGTATTTATAGTATTCACAGTATTTATAGTATTTACATTATTTACATTTATAGTATTTACATTATTTACAGTATTTGTAGTATTTATAGTATTTACAGTATTTATAGTATTTATAGTATTTACAGTATTTATAGTATTTATAGTATTGACAGTATTTGTAGTATTTATAGTATTTACAGTATTTATAGTATTTACAGTATTTACATTATTTATAGTATTTACAGTATTTGTAGTATTTATAGTATTTACAGTATTTACATTATTTATAGTATTTACAGTATTTGTAGTATTTATAGTATTTACAGTATTTATAGTATTTACAGTATTTACATTATTTACAGTATTTATAGTATTTACAGTATTTATGGTATTTATAGTATTTACATTATTTATAGTATTTATAGTATTTACAGTATTTATAGTATTTACAGTATTTATAGTATTTATAGTATTTACAGTATTTGTAGTATTTATAGTATTTACAGTATTTATAGTATTTACAGTATTTGTAGTATTTACAGTATTTGTAGTATTTATAGTATTTACAGTATGTATAGTATTTACAGTATTTATAGTATTTACAGTATTTATAGTATTTACAGTATTTACATTATTTATAGTATTTACAGTATTTATAGTATTTACAGTATTTACATTATTTATAGTATTTACAGTATTTATAGTATTTACATTATTTACATTATTTATAGTATTTACATTATTTACAGTATTTGTAGTATTTATAGTATTTACATTATTTACAGTATTTATAGTATTTACATTATTTACAGTATTTATAGTATTTATAGTATTTACATTATTTGTAGTATTTACAGTATTTGTAGTATTTATAGTATTTACAGTATGTATAGTATTTACAGTATTTATAGTATTTACAGTATTTATAGTATTTACAGTATTTACATTATTTATAGTATTTACAGTATTTATAGTATTTACAGTATTTACATTATTTATAGTATTTACAGTATTTGTAGTATTTACAGTATTTGTAGTATTTATAGTATTTACAGTATGTATAGTATTTACAGTATTTATAGTATTTACAGTATTTATAGTATTTACAGTATTTACATTATTTATAGTATTTACAGTATTTATAGTATTTACAGTATTTACATTATTTATAGTATTTACAGTATTTATAGTATTTACATTATTTACATTATTTATAGTATTTACATTATTTACAGTATTTGTAGTATTTATAGTATTTACATTATTTACAGTATTTATAGTATTTACATTATTTACAGTATTTATAGTATTTATAGTATTTACAGTATTTGTAGTATTTACAGTATTTGTAGTATTTATAGTATTTACAGTATTTATAGTATTTACAGTATTTATAGTATTTACAGTATTTATAGTATTTACAGTATTTACATTATTTATAGTATTTACAGTATTTATAGTATTTACAGTATTTACATTATTTATAGTATTTACAGTATTTATAGTATTTACATTATTTACATTATTTATAGTATTTACATTATTTACAGTATTTGTAGTATTTATAGTATTTACATTATTTACAGTATTTATAGTATTTACATTATTTACAGTATTTATAGTATTTATAGTATTTACATTATTTACATTATTTATAGTATTTACATTATTTACAGTATTTGTAGTATTTACAGTATTTGTAGTATTTATAGTATTTACATTATTTACAGTATTTATAGTATTTATAGTATTTACAGTATTTGTAGTATTTATAGTATTTACAGTATTTACATTATTTATAGTATTTACAGTATTTGTAGTATTTATAGTATTTACAGTATTTACATTATTTACAGTATTTATAGTATTTACAGTATTTATAGTATTTATAGTATTTACATTATTTACAGTATTTGTAGTATTTATAGTATTTACATTATTTACAGTATTTGTAGTATTTATAGTATTTACATTATTTACATTATTTATAGTATTTACATTATTTACAGTATTTGTAGTATTTGTAGTATTTATAGTATTTACATTATTTACAGTATTTATAGTATTTATAGTATTTATAGTATTTACATTATTTACAGTATTTGTAGTATTTACATTATTTATAGTATTTATAGTATTTACAGTATTTATAGTATTTACATTATTTACATTATTTACAGTATTTGTAGTATTTATAGTATTTACAGTATTTATAGTATTTATAGTATTTACAGTATTTGTAGTATTTATAGTATTTACAGTATTTACAGTATGTATAGTATTTACAGTATTTATAGTATTTACAGTATTTACATTATTTATAGTATTTACAGTATTTATAGTATTTACATTATTTACATTATTTATAGTATTTACATTATTTACATTATTTACAGTATTTGTAGTATTTATAGTATTTACAGTATTTGTAGTATTTATAGTATTTACAGTATTTATAGTATTTACAGTATTTACAGTATTTGTAGTATTTATAGTATTTACATTATTTACAGTATTTGTAGTATTTATAGTATTTACAGTATTTGTAGTATTTATAGTATTTACATTATTTACAGTATTTATAGTATTTACAGTATTTATAGTATTTGTAGTATTTATAGTATTTATAGTATTTGTAGTATTTACATTATTTACAGTATTTATAGTATTTATAGTATTTGTAGTATTTACATTATTTATAGTATTTACAGTATTTACATTATTTATAGTATTTATAGTATTTACAGTATTTATAGTATTTACATTATTTACAGTATTTGTAGTATTTATAGTATTTACAGTATTTGTAGTATTTATAGTATTTACAGTATTTACAGTATTTGTAGTATTTACAGTATTTATAGTATTTACATTATTTATAGTATTTACATTATTTACAGTATTTGTAGTATTTATAGTATTTACAGTATTTGTAGTATTTATAGTATTTACAGTATTTACAGTATTTACAGTATTTGTAGTATTTATAGTATTTACAGTATTTACAGTATTTGTAGTATTTATAGTATTTACATTATTTACAGTATTTATAGTATTTATAGTATTTGTAGTATTTACATTATTTATAGTATTTACAGTTTTTACATTATTTATAGTATTTATAGTATTTACAGTATTTATAGTATTTACATTATTTACAGTATTTGTAGTATTTATAGTATTTACAGTATTCGTAGTATTTATAGTATTTACAGTATTTGTAGTATTTATAGTATTTACAGTATTTACAGTATTTGTAGTATTTATAGTATTTACATTATTTATAGTATTTACAGTATTTACATTATTTATAGTATTTATAGTATTTACATTATTTACAGTATTTGTAGTATTTGTAGTATTTATAGTATTTACATTATTTACAGTATTTATAGTATTTATAGTATTTACATTATTTACAGTATTTGTAGTATTTACATTATTTATAGTATTTATAGTATTTACAGTATTTATAGTATTTACATTATTTACATTATTTACAGTATTTGTAGTATTTATAGTATTTACAGTATTTATAGTATTTACAGTATTTATAGTATTTACAGTATTTGTAGTATTTATAGTATTTACAGTATTTACAGTATGTATAGTATTTACAGTATTTATAGTATTTACAGTATTTACATTATTTATAGTATTTACAGTATTTATAGTATTTACATTATTTACAGTATTTACATTATTTACAGTATTTGTAGTATTTATAGTATTTACAGTATTTGTAGTATTTATAGTATTTACAGTATTTGTAGTATTTACATTATTTATAGTATTTACAGTATTTACATTATTTATAGTATTTACATTATTTATAGTATTTACATTATTTACAGTATTTGTAGTATTTATAGTATTTACAGTATTTGTAGTATTTATAGTATTTACAGTATTTACAGTATTTGTAGTATTTACAGTATTTATAGTATTTACATTATTTATAGTATTTACATTATTTACAGTATTTGTAGTATTTATAGTATTTACAGTATTTGTAGTATTTATAGTATTTACAGTATTTACAGTATTTGTAGTATTTATAGTATTTACAGTATTTACAGTATTTGTAGTATTTATAGTATTTACATTATTTACAGTATTTATAGTATTTATAGTATTTGTAGTATTTACATTATTTATAGTATTTACAGTTTTTACATTATTTATAGTATTTATAGTATTTACATTATTTATAGTATTTGTAGTATTTATAGTATTTACAGTATTCGTAGTATTTATAGTATTTACAGTATTTACAGTATTTGTAGTATTCATAGTATTTACAGTATTTACAGTATTTGTAGTATTTATAGTATTTACATTATTTATAGTATTTACAGTATTTACATTATTTATAGTATTTATAGTATTTACATTATTTATAGTATTTACAGTATTTACAGTATTTGTAGTATTTATAGTATTTACAGTATTTACAGTATTTGTAGTATTTATAGTATTTACATTATTTACAGTATTTATAGTATTTATAGTATTTGTAGTATTTACATTATTTATAGTATTTACATTATTTACATTATTTACAGTATTTGTAGTATTTATAGTATTTACAGTATTTATAGTATTTACAGTATTTATAGTATTTATAGTATTTACAGTATTTGTAGTATTTATAGTATTTACAGTATTTACAGTATGTATAGTATTTACAGTATTTATAGTATTTACAGTATTTACATTATTTATAGTATTTACAGTATTTATAGTATTTACATTATTTACATTATTTATAGTATTTACATTATTTACATTATTTACAGTATTTGTAGTATTTATAGTATTTACATTATTTATAGTATTTACAGTATTTACATTATTTATAGTATTTATAGTATTTACAGTATTTATAGTATTTACATTATTTACATTATTTACAGTATTTGTAGTATTTATAGTATTTACAGTATTTGTAGTATTTATAGTATTTATAGTATTTACATTATTTACAGTATTTGTAGTATTTATAGTATTTACAGTATTTACAGTATTTATAGTATTTATAGTATTTATAGTATTTACAGTATTTGTAGTATTTACAGTATTTATAGTATTTATAGTATTTACAGTATTTGTATAAGTATTTACAGTATTTGTAGTATTTATAGTATTTATAGTATTTACAGTATGTATAGTATTTACAGTATGTATAGTATTTACAGTATTTAGTATATAGTATTTACAGTATTTATAGTATTTACATTATTTACATTATTTACAGTATTTGTAGTATTTTTAGTATTTACAGTATTTATAGTATTTACATTATTTACATTATTTACAGTATTTGTAGTATTTATAGTATTTACAGTATTTGTAGTATTTATAGTATTTATAGTATTTACAGTATTTACAGTATTTGTAGTATTTATAGTATTTACAGTATTTACAGTATTTGTAGTATTTATAGTATTTACATGTAATATTATATCTGTCATCCTGTCTCCTGTGGTGTAATGACCGTGTGTGTGTGTGTGTGTGTGTGTGTGTGTGTGTGTGTGTGTGTGTGTGTGTGTGTGTGCGCGCACTCACCGTCGGTCCGGTGTCTCCGTTGTGTGTCCGCCGCTGCAGGACGCTGCTGTCGGGACTCTCTGTCATCACTACCGGGACTACCGGGACGTTAATGTCCGTAAACCCCGCCGATGTTCCGGTGCTGTGAGCGCGAGCTATCGTTACGAAAAACAGAAAAAAACAACTTTATTAAAATTCATAAATACACGCACTTCCGGCGCCGATCCCTGACGTCATTTCAGTGTCACCGCTCTGTTGTTTTTAAAAAAGAACGTCTGTAACGTTTGTGCGCCGGTGAGACTACAGTTCCCAGGGTGCACTGCGGCCGATAGATTGTAAACACCAATGGAGGCTGAAGGACGAAGACAGTGATGATTGGTGAGTTCTATTGAACTGTACAGTGGTTCTGCTGGGATCTATTGAACTGTACAGTGGTTCTACTGGATTCTATTGAATTGTACATTGGTTCTACTGGGTTCTGCTAAACTGTAGAGTGGTTCTAGTGGTTTCCATTGAATTGTACAGTGGTTCTACTGGATTCTATTGAATTGTACATTGGTTCTACTGGGTTCTGCTAAACTGTAGAGTGGTCAGGCATGTAAGTGGTTCTAGGGTTGGTTCTAGTGGTTTCTATTGAATTGTACAGTGGTTCTACTGGATTCTATTGAATTGTACATTGGTTCTACTGGGTTCTGCTAAACTGTAGAGTGGTTCTAGTGGTTTCTATTGAACTGTACAGTGGTTCTGCTGGGTTCTATTGAATTGTACATTGGTTCTACTGGGTTCTGCTAAACTGTAGAGTGGTTCTAGTGGTTTCTATTGAACTGTACAGTGGTTCTGCAGGGTTCTGTTGAACTGTACAGTGGTTCTGCTGGGTTCTGCTAAACTGTACAGTAGTTCTAGTGGTTTCTATTGAACTGTACAGTGGTTCTGCTGGGTTCTATTGAACTGTACAGTGGTTCTACTGGATTCTATTGAACTGTACAGTGGTTCTACTGGATTCTATTGAATTGTACATTGGTTCTACTGGGTTCTGCTAAACTGTAGAGTGGTTCTAGTGGTTTCTATTGAACTGTACAGTGGTTCTGCTGGGTTCTGTTGAACTGTACAGTGGTTCTAGTGGTTTCTATTGAACTGTACAGTGGTTCTGCTGGGTTCTGTTGAACTGTACAGTGGTTCTGCTGGGTTCTGCTAAACTGTACAGTGGTTCTGCTGGGTTCTGTTGAACTGTACAGTGGTTCTGCTGGGTTCTGCTAAACTGTACAGTAGTTCTAGTGGTTTCTATTGAACTGTACAGTGGTTCTGCTGGGTTCTATTGAACTGTACAGTGGTTTCGCTGGGTTCAGCTAAACTGTACAGTAGTTCTAGTGGTTTCTATTGAACTGTACAGTGGTTCTGCTGGGTTCTATTGAACTGTACAGTGGTTCTGCTGGGATCTATTGAACTGTACAGTGGTTCTACTGGATTCTATTGAACTGTGCAGTGGTTCTACTGGATTCTATTGAATTGTACATTGGTTCTACTGGGTTCTGCTAAACTGTAAAGTGGTTCTGCTGGGTTCTATTGAATTGTACAGTGGTTCTACTGGATTCTATTGAACTGTACAGTGGTTCTACTGGATTCTATTGAATTGTACAGTGGTTCTACTGGATTCTATTGAACTGTACAGTGGTTCTACTGGATTCTATTGAATTGTACATTGGTTCTACTGGGTTCTGCTAAACTGTAGAGTGGTTCTGCTGGGTTCTATTGAACTGAACAGTGGTTTCGCTGGGTTCTGCTAAACTGTACAGTAGTTCTAGTGGTTTCTATTGAACTGTACAGTGGTTCTGCTGGGATCTATTGAACTGTACAGTGGTTCTATTGGGTTCTGCTTAACTGTACAGTGGTTCTACTGGGTTCTGCTAAACAGTACAGTGGTTCTACTGGGTTCTGCTAAACTGTACAATGGTTCTGCTGGGTTCTATTGAACTGAACAGTGGTTTCGCTGGGTTCTGCTAAACTGTACAGTAGTTCTAGTGGTTTCTATTGAACTGTACAGTGGTTCTGCTGGATTCTATTGAATTGTACAGTGGTTCTACTGGATTCTATTGAATTGTACATTGGTTCTACTGGGTTCTGCTAAACTGTAGAGTGGTTCTACTGGGTTCTGCTAAACTGTAGAGTGGTTCTGCTGGGTTCTATTGAACTGAACAGTGGTTTCGCTGGGTTCTGCTAAACTGTACAGTAGTTCTAGTGGTTTCTATTGAACTGTACAGTGGTTCTGCTAGGTTCTATTGAACTGTACAGTGGTTCTGCTGGGATCTATTGAACTGAACAGTGGTTCTATTGGTTCCTGCTTAACTGTGCGGTAGTTCTACTGGTTTCTATTGAACTGTACTGTGGTTCTATTGGGTTCTGCTAAACTGTACAGTGGTTCTACTGGGTTCTGATTAACTGTACAGTGGTTCTACTGGGTTCTGCTAAACTGAACAGTGGTTCTACTGGTTTCTATTGAACTGTACAGTGGTTCAATTGGGTTCTGCTAAACTGTACAGTGGTTCTACTGAACTGTACAGTGGTTCTACTGGGTTCTATTGAACTGTAAAGATGTTCTATTGAGTTCTGCTAAACTTTACAGTGATTCTACTGGGTTCTACTGAACTGTACAGTGGTTCTACTGGGTTCTATTGAACTGTACAGTGGTTCTATTGGTTTATGCTAAACTGTGCAGTGGTTCTATTGGGTTATGCTAAACTGTACAGTGGTTCTGCTGGGTTCTACTTAACTGTACGTTGGTTTTATTGGGTTCTACTGAACTGGAACGTAGCAGCACTGACCCTTTGTCTCCTCAGTGTTTGTGCGGTACAATCTGGGGCCCGGAGTGCCGATGGAGCTGCAGGAGGAGGCGAGTGTGGCCAAGCTGAAGGAGGTGGTGGGGAGTCAGCAGGGAGTCAGACCGGAGCAGCTCAGGGTGCTGTTCGCTGGGAGGGAGCTGAGGAGCACCGCCACACTGCAGGTGAGCAGATGGAGAGAGGAAGAGTCCCACCTCCTTTTGGTAACCCATATTACTCATATTACTTATTATCTGCTCCTCCCCCACTCTCCCCTCTTCTCAGAGTTGTGACCTCCCGGAGCAGAGTACCGTCCATGTTGTCCTCCCTCCATCGGGTTCCTCCTCCTCCCACCTGCTACTCCTGCAGGAGCGCTTGGCTCGAGGAGGGGAGCAGGAGCACAACAGTCTGACCAGGCTGGACCTCAGCTCCTCGCGCCTCCCCTCCACCTCCTCTGGCCTGGCAGTGATCCTGGAGGGGAATAATGAAGGAGCAGAGGAGGTGCATGCTACAGGTTTGAAAGGTAAGAGAAGGTACCACAGTGTCTGTTCTTCAGTACTCTGTCTGTACTCTGTCAGTAGTACTCTGTCTGTACTCGGTCAGTAGTACTCTGTCTGTACTCTGTCAGTAGTACTCTGTCAGT